AAAAAATTACTTTGGACCCCCCAGAAAACGTGGACCCCACCGGCCATCACTACCACGAAATACATGTAGGTGTTTTTCACGTTTGGGAAATGGATTTTACGGGGGGTTTTGTTTATATTTGATTGCTGGTGTGTATGGTTTTTTTTTTTTTTTTTTTTTTTTTTTTGCTTGTCAAGAAATTTTCTGGGGTTTAAATATGTTTGGAAAGGGAATTTAGTTGTTTTTTTTGTTTTTTGTTTTCTTTTGTTTTGTTTTGTTTTGTTTTGTTTTTTGTTTTTGTTTTTGTTTTTGTTTTTTTGTTTTTTTTTTTTTTTTGTTTTTGTTTTTTTGCTGAAAAATTCAAATTCAATTCTTTAAATAGAGCGTTGCTATGGAAATTAGCCTTAAAAATATGCATAAAAATCTGAAAAATATACTGTTTCCTTGGATACGTACTCTTGTATGTAGATTCCCAAAACTTTTATGATTGATATATATGAACAACTGACCTGACTTTCAATTTTGACTACCACCCAATCTCTAACTGGATGCAAAAAGCTGGCACATAGGATTTAATATTGATATAAAATTAACAAAATCGAACATTTTCCCTTCTTGGTAACCATAGCAACAGTGTTGTATTTTTCAACAAACTTTATCAATATATGATATTCAACTTTAGTTCTACCAGATAAGTACTATTCAAAGTAAGTCAAATAATATGTTTCTTGATTAAAAGGTAAGTAAATTCCTAAAGCAGCAAAGAAATATCACTTTAAACAACAGGTACGATGTTTCCATGGTTACACTGCAAAGTAACAATTAATCCCAATTTTTCTTATGTTGTCGGTGTTGCAAGGTCCTAAGGATGTATATGTGCCAGTCAAGAATTTTATTGTTTTTCCTTCATATAGTAACATTTACCCAATCTTAGCAACATATTTTGCATGGTTACACTGTGTTACCATGGCAACCATGAAAGTTATTTTTAGAACAATATTGCCAATACCTTATTACTTAAGGTCAAATATATTTATTGTTTTTCTTTGGTTGTTGATTGAGTTTGATCATGTTACATCAATCATTAGTGAATATTGAGCGTTTTTCAGCATTTTTCAGCATCTGAAATGTATTCCAAATGTACCCATGGTTACCACTTACTTAGAGATAAATTATAAATAGTTTCTTTATAGCATAAGTGGCAACAAGGTATCCCTTTTTTGTGAGAATGGTTTGTTGTTTTTTTTAAGTCTTTATTAAGGCCTAATAAAGATTAAAAGAAGCTGAAAATCTCAATTTTTTCAACTTTTCTGGCTGTTACCATGACAACCAAGACACATAGCAACGAAATTTTATTTGATATATGTTTCTGGTGTCAAGTTGTAATAATTGGCAAAGTTTCATCAAAATCGGTGACCATGCGTGGCAGAAGTTTAAGTGGTTACAGAGAATTGCTATTAATATTCAATGAGTAGACTATTCTTGGCACTATTCTTTGATGCACATGTCTAGTTGTATATTACGTTAGTTGTTAATAAAATCTAGTCTCAGCACATGGTGTTCAAAGTACATCGTTTTGGTTCGATACCTCCCCCCTCCCCCTCAAAAAGGGGGGGGGAGAGAAAATCGCAATAGGTGAAAGTTTATCAGGTTCTTTGGCCTGTATTATTAAAAACATTAACACACTATAAAAATACTATATAAAATGCTACTATGTAAAAAGATTGACCAACACTTTAAACGTTGATGGACTTAAGCTTCCAACATAAAAGTCTGACCAGAACTTTAAATATTGTTGATAGATCTCCCACTTAAGTTTGCCTAAAGCGTAAATATTTCTTTGCTGGGTTTGTTAAGTCCCGGAATCCTGTTGTTATGTGATGAAAATCTTTTTCTTCCCTGATGATTACGTACAGACCAAAACCGCGCTCTATGGATAGGTCATATCTGTCATGCAAGCTATCTGTCCTTTTGTTCAGCATGCAGCTCCATTGAACTCTAATACACGTATACATATACAGGTATTCTGATAATTATCTATTTACTTTACGCATAAGTAAAACATATTTTATAATCCGTCAATGGGTTTACCTTTGTCTTAGCCTTGACCTGAATATTGATAAAGTTATAAAACACACTCATCTCTTCTGTCAATGACCTATTTAATGGAATGAAATATGAACTTATACCCACTGTAGGACAGCTTCTGTCTAAAGAAAATTAAATATTTTGAAATAGCTTATAAAAGAGTCCTGTACATCTTATTGCTAAAAATCATACTGCAAATTTCCATTAACTTGAGATGTAATCTGTTTAAAGTTTAACACCGACAGGTCTCCCATGTCCTGTGACGTTGACCTCATACAAACAACCATGGTAAGGAATCATGACACATCTAACCTTTGTCCACATATATGTTGCTCCTTCAATACAAAGTTGTTGTTTTTTTTTACAATTATGGTTTGTTGAGAACTACTGAACTCTTTGATCTTGTCTAAAGGATCTTTGTTCAGTGTCATGACAAATCTAAGATCATAATCAACCGTGAGGGCAAATACATACTTCTGAAGTTATTTCATTATTATATAAATATTGCGTACAAATATTGCGTGTAGTTGAGGGTAACATTAAAAATTTCACCCAAGAAAATCATTGTCAACCGAGGCGCAGCATGGTTATACTTCCTGCAACACAGTACAGAGAAAATAATAAACAACTTGAAGACAGATATCAACTTGATGGTATTTTCGTTTATCACACTTATATGAGGCGCCGTTTTGGTATTAATTTTAACTGATATCACCTTTTCAAATAGGTGATATCACCTATTCAAAATAAATAGGTGATAACACTTATTCAAATAGGTTACATCACCTATTCAAATTGAATAGGTGATATCATCTATTTGATCGTGTGAAATCACTCATTTGAATTGGTGATATCACCTAATGGAATGTGACATTACCTATTTGCATTTCCTACAACATTGTTTAATCGAATGTGATATCATCTATTAAAATGAATAGGTGATATCACCTAATCGAATTTTGGTATATCAACCATTTAATTTGGATAGGGATATCACCTATTCTAATCAAATAGGTGATGTCACCTATTCGAATAGGTGATATCAACTTTTCAGATAGGTTTCTTCACCAATTCATAAGCTGACTATGTTTTATCACCTGTTCAAATAGGTGATATCTTCAAATAAATAAGCGATATCACTTACATGTAATGGCAGTTAATACTTTTCAAATAGGTTTCTTCAGTCACCAGTTCAAAAGCTGAATACCGGTAAGTGATATCACCTGTTCAAATAGGTGATAACTTGAAATAAATAGGTGATATCCATTACATGTAATGGCAGTTAATACCAAAAAAGTCCCTCATATGATTACTCCTTTATACAGTGGACATTGGTCATATGATATTTTCATATCAACAGTTGTGACATCACACTGCTTTTTGCTTGAGAGTAAGGAAGTTATAAAAAAACATTGTAAAACCGGTGATAAAAAATGAATCTCCCAATGTTCATGGTTGGATATGATTTTTATCCAACACGTTTTCTATTCCCTCACCAAGGCACAAGTATAGAAAAGAAACAATTTGGTGGATAAAAGTCATATCCATGCTACAAACCACATGAAATCCTATTTATCTCAATTTCAATTTTCTTCTTTTAGCTAAATGTATACTAAATAAATGCATAGGCACTCTCTATCTTCATTGGTTTTTTAAAAATAAGGATTTAAAAAATAATACTGCTACATGTATTGACAATCATTTTATTGTAAATATTGTCTTTACAATGCCTTCAATATCACACTTCAATATTTTTCACAACTAGATTCAGCTATATAACCAGTTACAATTCATACTTCTTTTATCACAGTAGAGTAAAAAATGGCTAATGTTTCAAAAATCAAAAAAAAAAAAAAATGTGTGCACAATATGATTTATCAAAAAGCCTTAACTTGTGAAGATGTAGTAACAATGGCAAATTCTTGAATTAAATTCAGAAAAGCAACTTAAATTTTAAAATCTAAAATGAAATAAAAATAAGATTTTAATGGGTTGTATTGTATTACATTTTACCCTTGTTACATTGTTGGTCCCCCTAACTGATGGTCCCGCTAAGTTTAAAAGGGTAACTGTACAACAGTTTGATTGTGAAGTATTGGAAAACCATGGGTTTCCAAGGTGTTAGATATCTCTTATACTGAAACTACCTTCCTCATTCTGCATCTTCATATATAAAAATATATGTATATTAAAACAAATAAAATCAATAATGAGGCTTTAACTCGACTGTTTTAAACATTAAACCGTTCTGGAGAAAAATAGTCCAGCTGTTTTATGTTATCTCAGCTTAACATGAAATAAACATGAATTTTAGATACATGTTAACAAATTTTAACAAGTTTAAATTTGTGGAAACATAACTATCTTTCTTTTTCTACATGGTTTTTCATTTCTAGATTTTTTTTAAATTTGATACACTCTTGATATCTTGCATGAATTGGCATTCAATGTAGTCATAATTACACATTTCAATATTAAGATATCATTAAAATCATTAAAGTCATGACAATTTGCGTATATCAATTTTATGGATTTGACTCATGACTCAGTAATTCTATTAATTAAAATACCGATAAATCAGATATTTTGTCTTTACAATGTAAGACAAAGAAACAAATCAAGGTTTTTTTGTTATGCTAGATATTAGTGCACTACAAATATGGTAAAAATTAGCCCTGGATATGAATATCTTCAGTAGAATTTAATGAAGAAAATGTGCCAGCTGCCCAATTCAATGTCATATTAAAACTTTTGATTGAATCGCTGAAATACATGAAGATGATTTTAATTCTTTAAAATTCTTTTTAAAAAAAGATACTTTTAAAATGGAATTTTTTTTTTTAATTTCAACAATGTCTGTATTGAGATATTTGAATTATTGTTTCACAAACATAAAGCAAATATCTGTACTTGATGTTTTGCAGTCAAAAAAATTTAAAGGAATTTCCAAATTTTTCTTTTAAATATCTGTAAATTAATTCCCTCATTTTCTTGACATCATATCTAACTATAAATGTCATAATACTTGATACAAAATTTTAATAAATTGAAAAGTTTTATAGATATGGATGTGTTTTAGAGAAAATTTATGGATTTTCTACTAAAGTTTGATAATTTGCCATTTTTGCATATGATTATACATGAACATGTAATTGTGCTCTAGCTGGTATCTCAAACATGGATGTCTGGAATACCATGGATATGTCAAAGAGAGTTGGAAGTTCCAATCACCTTTCCTTTATGTTTATATATTTTAACCTCAATTCCTCAAATATCACCAAAAGTTTTTTTTAATCCAATGGACTTTGAGATAATAAAGTTTAACTGCAGTTCTTTATGGTACAAAATAATCTGTGTCATTATCATAATTATAAAATTGCTACAATAAATATTTAAAAAAAAAAAATACAATTCCAATTCTGGAAAATAAAAGGCACTTAAGTTTCACAATTAGACAAAGCTTGAAAGACAGGAACTTAAATGGTATATAAATACATGTATGGTGGTCATTGCAACATCCATATGAAATATTTTTCATTGAAGGGCAAGAAACTCATTCTTTCTTGCAAAATACTCATTAAATCGAACGACAGCATACCTGCAATATAAATACAGAAAGCTGATAAAATACAACTACAGTATTACTCTAATGTTTAATATTCTTCAATGAACAAATAATGCACCAAGATCTTGAATTGACCAAGATTCAAAGAAATGCCAAGTTTGAACGAAGGATTTGAGCTTTGTTCAAAATTTCAGAATAAAAGCCCATTAGCAGTTAATCACTTTTGTTGCTTGAATCAAAGCTACTCAAATTAATAAACAGTATCAATTTGGATGCAAAAGTACATAGGGAAAATAAATGTGTCATTTGTTACAAATGAAACATTGCATATGCAATCTCATGTAAACTGAATGTTACCTACTCTAAATAATCAAAATCAATGGCGGAGAATTTGGCCTGAATGATCCCCCATACTCCCCAGAAGAAGTGAGCTGCCTAAAAAGAGAGAATTAATAAAGATTTTTTTCTGGCACTGCATAATAAATTATCAAGAAAATACAGATATATCATAAATTATCACAGTTACTGTAGCCTTCTTAGCTCAAAGTACAAGTAAAGCATATGCATAAAGATAAAAGTTATGTCCCTTTACCAATGCACATTTGTTAACACCACAGTACATTTTCCTGACATCTGTATCGGTCACCTTGGGGCCACTGGTCAGTCTAGACCACTGCTCCAAATACTCACGTATCCAAGACAACTGATATTCTTTGTCTGGATACAAGGAGTAATCAGTTACCTCTCCAATTCCTGCAATTACAAAGGTTGCTATAACACAAGGAAATATCAACGAGGGATCTGCATTCTGCAACTGCACTTTGAATATTTCTTAAGAAAAACTTTATATCAAATGGGAAGGCAAAGTATTTTATACACATTATAGGACACTGAATGGTTTGTGAATTACGAATTTGTCATAATGTTCTGTTTGGTACAAACATTTGCAAATGTTTACTTAGTCTAATTAAAGAATAACTTTCTATTTTTTTAATTTTATGATGTGATCAAGCAATTGGCTTGCTTGATAATTTGCATAAACACCAAATGCATTTATGCATAAAATTATCACACAAGCCAATTGCTTGATCATCATCATAAAACTAAAATATCTGACAGTTATTTCTTATATTTACTTGCTCTTGATTCAGTAAATTCACATGCTTACAGCCCCACCTACTTCTCTTTGTCCAACCCTGTACATGATTTTTTAAAACCATGCCTATCGATGAACCAGTAGCTTTATAGAGAAATCAAGTATTTTTATTATTTGTAGCTCTGAAAAGGACATTTAAAAATGGAAATATTTAACAATAATGACACATTTCTCTGTTACTTACATAACATCTCAACAAAAAGGTACTTCTGGATGATCAGTGTAAAACCTATTGTTTTGATCCAAGCTGCTTGAATGCAATTCTCTTGGAAATATTAATGACACCAGGCATGCACTTATTTCTTTTGAGGGTTCAAATTATGATCAATGTCTTAAATGAAAAACAAAATTATCTTTATATAATAATGCACCAAAGTAACACAACTAACCTGCATATTCACAGAAGTGATTGCCAATATCAAAAGGCTGATAGTTGTACATTCCATATTCTTGGTCAATAAAGGTTACTTTTCCTGCAGAACAAAAGAAAAAAATCTGTACATCCACAGTCTTTCCACATCTTTTCGAAGACCATATTAAAGAAGAGAATATTTGTCTTGAAACTTCTAAGAAATGGAAACCACAAGAAGAATTACCTTAATTTTCAAAATTTATGCACCTGTTTGGCAGTATGGTATTTCTCTCTCAATCTCTCTCAATTCGAACACTGTATTGTAAGCATACTTTTTTCCCCATGGGGCCATAATTCTGCTGATTCATAATTTCTGTTCCATCCGCGAGTAGAAAAAATATGCAAATTTTGTGGATTGTCATTGTTGAATGCACTTTTAGCATGGAAAATTTGTGACCACGTATGTAGCTACTGTAAAATTAACCCCATCAAATGTATGCTTAAAATACTTCTCTCTCAACCTGTGGGGAAATGTTTAACATTTGATTTATTACAATCAAAGTAACATATGCTACCTTCTTCTTTGTTGTAGATGATGTTTTTGAGCAAGAGATCATTATGAGAGAACACAGTTGGGTACCCAAGGCTTTCTATGCACTGTTCTAGTTCTAATAGTTCTGCTTCTAGATTTTCTTTTGGTGGAATCTTTTTCTTAAATCTTCAAATCACAAAGATTAAATTTAAGTATCTTATACATACTAAACAATGTATTTCTCAATTTTATGTGAAATATTTGTATTTTTCATTGTCTGTATTTTTTTTAATTTACAATACATGCAACATTTTATTAATTTTGGTTACCTTTAGAAGATGAAAATTAATGAGTACAATGTTAAAATTAAATGATGAGGTCTGCATCTTTAAAAAATTGTTTGGTTGCCCTCTCCTGACCGACTGGCTAAAAATGGCCCAGCTCAAAACTTTTTTTAACCTCCTGGAAGCAATAATTTTTTATGCATTCCAGAAAATAAATTTAGAAAATTCAGCATTGATGTTGAAATTTTCTAAGAAAAAAAATTCCCACCTACCTATTGACCCAATTTTTTCATCCTGGGAGAAGGCAAGTGAACATTTTTTAAAGTTGGCCAGCGTTATTATCTATTATTCTAATGAATTTTATAACATACTTTTCATTCATTTCACGATTAGAAAAGCTTTCTGGAATTAATTTTAACCATTCTTTCAATTTGTCAAACAGAGCACATTTTTTGCTGGATATGTGCTTAGGCTGCACAATGTGGAGTCTTGCCATTTCTTTTGCAATTAATCTATAGAAAAAAAAATATTGCACATTAGTTTTTGCCTTATTTCTTTCATTAAAGTAAACGATGCATCAATGCCACCATAGCACATTAAGATCTATATCACATACAATACATGTTATGCATTCTTTTACTTGTGCTGTAAGCTATTGTATAGTGTGGAGTACAATGATTTAACACAAGGATAAATTACATTGTACTTTTGTTACTGAAAATAAAATTAAAACATTTAAAAAAAAAACAAAACAAAACAAAACAAAAAAAAAACACACAGAAATATTTTCCAGTACCAGAGGTGCTTTATGGCTAGTTTAGGCTTCAATTAAAAAATTGTTGGTTTGGCGTTGCCGACTGAGTCTTTAAACAGTTGGGTCGGTAGGTAGAAAAAAAATTTTTTTTTGGCTGAATCAAAAATTAATGCAGTTAAATTAATTGTGTTATATTATTGCATTTTGTTATACAAACGACTATGTCAAAACAGAGAGAAAATTTCACACGTCATACAGATTTCTAATACAGTTTCAGGTCTTGAGTGACAAAAAGCATTTATATGATTCTTTTCCATCCTGTATACTACTCAACCCTACATATCCTAAATCCAGATGAATATAACGAAAAAAAATTTGAATCCTATCGGTTGAAAAAATTTCTTCGGACCGCACCGATTTATGCGAGTCGGCTGGCAACACCAAACAAAGCTAATTTTATTTTTGGCCTTAGCTAAAATTGGCCCAGAAAAGTCAAAGCACTAAACGTTAATAGACAAAGACTGACAGCCAGATATCAAAAAGAACTAGTTCAGAAAAGGTCACCTGTGTAATTGGCTCAGGTGAGCTAATTTACATTGCAAAGGAATAATAAAATTATTAAAAGTAGTGCATGTTTGTCGAGTTTTAATTACTTTCTGATGGTTTCATCTCTCACTGTCTTCTCATCTAATGTCACTCCTGGAGCGAATCCATATGCCAGACCATTCTCAAAGGTGGCATACAATGGTGGACACAGACCTGCTTCATACAGTTCTGCCATATTTTTCTTCTCTGCATTTCTATCAATGATTAAATCAGTCTTTTCACCATATACTCGAATGAGGACAATGTCTTTAGCCTGTCCAAAAGATGATTCTTGAAAACCTCCTATCAGTTTATTAGTTATACCCTCATCAAAGACCTGAAATAAAACAAGTATATGAAAAATTTGTTTTAATATGTCTTTAAAATAAATACACCAAAAGTCGTGACAATTTAAAAAAAATATCAAATAGAATATATAGGAAACACCACCCTTTGGTATCTTGCACAAACGCCTGGTAAGATATCTCAATTTTTTGCAAGAAAAATTTGTTAAAGTAGTAATGCTTCAATGGCACATTTTTGGGGAAAATTATATATTTTTGAGGAACGTGTCATCTGACCTTAAAGTATAATAATGTAAATTGTGAAGATATTAAACATTGATAAATCTCATAAATCCATAAACAAAACGAAACATATAGATGTATTGACAAATGTGCAATGATAAGGACATAGCTCTATCAGTATCTATTTACGAAATGATTTTGACAAATATGATGTAATATAGTAGTCGAACTAAACAACTCCATTGCAAAAGAGCGTACTTTTTTGTTCGGAAAGACTTTCTATGCGTTGCTGAAAGATTAATATTGAACTTAATTAAGTGTTCTGATTTTCTAAGAATAATTTATTGAATGCTTCATTTTTTTTCTGAGTTAATAATATTTTAAGTACTTGAGTGCAATTTTTATGAAAAAACTAACACAAATTTTCTGAATCTAAGGTCAGGTTAAATTGCATTTATCTTACTCTTTGACAAATGCTTTACCAAAGTTTTCTCAATAGGAACAGCAAAGTTTATTTTGCCCATTTTTCTCAATCTAGGATAAGGCGTAAACATGCTAGTAAAATAACATTTTCTGTATAATATGCAAATCTAAATACAAAAAAGTAAGAGAGAAAGAAGGAGAGAGTAAACACATTAGTTGATGACACAAGATTCAACCATCTCGTTTAAAGTAGACATTTCGCAAATTCCATGTTTGATAGAATAACCTTGTTTGCAAAATTAACACAATCTATCGTTAAGTCGAATGACTTTTTTCATATGAATTGTTAGGCCTTTTTTTTCCTTTACCTGATCATGACAAAGAGTACACGGCAGGTTTTAATGGTGGACAGGGTATGTTCATTCCTCCATGGCACCTTATCCCACCTCTGTATTCACTTTTCAGAGGTCCATGTTTGCTCTGCTCATAATTTGTATTGTTTAAATTGGATTTTGGATATGATTTCTGTTTATTTTTTTCACATGTCATTGATGATACTTTAATTGATCTGTAGATATTTGAAGTTTTTCGCCGTATCTAAATCAACAGAACACTGTTTTCAAGACCCAATATGTTTTATACACAGAAACCTAAACTGATTTGAACAAAATTAGGCCACTGTGCTCTTCCAGAAATTGTCAGCGCACTGAGAATTTTTCAATTACATAGTATTTGGTGCGATGAATTTTGAATTTACTGGCAGAGAGCGTCTTGAGTCTGCTGAAATAACATTTTTTGAACCCTGAAACAAGCAAAATGACATTTTACACATGCTTTGCCCTAATCACTCTAATAGGTCACAAAATCTTTACCCTAGTCGTATATTTGCGTTACCCTAATCTTGTTTAAATTTTCTACCCGTAATTTGACTTTAACCAGCACAGATCATGCAAAATTTTTGCAATAGCTATGTACTTCTATTTAAAATAATTTAAATAAAACCATCCATTACATAATGTAGGCCTGTATAATGCGTAAACTAAGTGCAAAATAATCGAAACGTATTTGCCTGCATGTCGCCATCTTGGACTAGGGTAACGCACTTTACCCTATAGCTAGTCCGTTTCTACGCAGTGAATATTAATGAAGCATCATTTGGTGAAATTTTGAATTAAAATGGAGGGATATGACTGTTTTATTGCTAATTATAAATGATCAATATGTAAAAACAAAGTCAAGAATGGCAAAATCATTCAACGTCTTGGAGCATCAAGTTACATGTACAAAAAAAATTATGTATGCAGACAAGAAAATGCCCAAAAGGGACTAAAATGTTTTGAGATGCTGTTAGGGATTCCCTACACGTATCAAGTACCAGTGTTCAAATACTAGTAGCTTTGTTAGAATGGAAGGATTGGCATTTTTGGTGATAACTCCTGCAATACCCCAATACCCCGATTATGGCATGGAAGTTGAGCCTATGGATTTTGCATTATTTCTATCCCTGATCGCTTAACTGAGTAGACATTGATTTTTCAGATCTCACTTGTATCTGATATGCCACAAAAGACATATTTTAGAAAAAAAAATGTAACATGTCTTAATAGTTATTCAATTTGTAATGTGGAAAAAACATGAAAAAGCTTTGGAAATGAAAGACATTTAGAACATATAACAGGTTTGGAATCAGGTTGTCATGTCACCCAATGTCAAAAAAACATCAAGTGATTGCTTCATGAATTATATGACTGCACAATGAAAATCATTATATATTTTCAAAATTTTATTACATAGACCTATAATATTTTACATACTAATAAATAAAAGATAAGAATTTAATCAGACATAGGCCATTCTCCAAAGTACACAAAAATTTTCTGTAAATCAACATGTCTGCGAACTTTTCTAACAAACCTTGTATTTTAACATCTACTTGTATGCTTAATGGCTCTGAATATCCCACCAATTTTCTTACATCAATTTAAAAAATATCAATGCAATAAAAATATTCGGACTTAAAGTGCTGCTTGCATAGATATTTGAAAAATCTCTGCAATTCTTTTCTAAGCTGATGATAATCTATTGAAAAATATCACTCCACCCACCACATTTTAAAAAGTAATTTCATATAAACCATGGTTTTACATGTCTCTGATATGACATGCACATGTAATATGATTTACAGCCAACTACCAATTGTTATAATAAAAAAAAAAGCATACATATGCAAAACTGCTCAATGTCAAGACATAAGATTAAAATTAGATATGTACATAAGATATTAGATAAGCATGAATGAGCCACATGTACAATTTATCATTACCCATTACCTGTTCAAGTTCAAGTGAAATACATGTACTTTTACCTTGAACTTTAAATTGCTGCGCTCCCAACTAGGTTTTACTTTCATTATTATATCTTTTGCTGTTTCATAAATATTACTGTCATCAATATGATAATTTAAATCAGGTATAGACGTCATTTTCACAAACCGGCTTGTCTATGTCAACTTATCGTCTTCTTTGAACCTTGACATCCATTTCTGGAATTCCGATCCCGATCGATCACATTCTGTGTCGTTTGATAGGATCTATGACCCTAATAGAATTTAGCGTTATATACATGAAAAATAAAATAGAATAGTGGACTATTTAGGATATATATATATTTATTTTTCACCCTCTATAAGAACGAATATTACGACATGTAGCAGGAATGAATTTTGTTATATGCATTTATGCCTTGTATTTTAAATGTAATGTCGTTATTTATGTTTTCATGCATATATTGGGATACTGCCTTATCCCCCATATCATTTTGTTTATATTTACAAACCTTCTCAGATAATAGCACGTGTTGCTTCCATCAAATCTAGACTTACGGGTAAATGTTTATATTTGATGATCTAAATTCTCATTGGCTATCAATACGGAAATTAACCTTTTGGGTGTTACTAATTTCAGTCAAAGTTCATACCCTTGGGGTGTATTCACTAGATTTCAAGTTAAAGATTCTATTGTTCCAAAGAGTATATAAACCCGTGAAACTGTTAGACACGGGGGGGGGGGGGAATCTTGGAAAGCATTAACTTGCTGTAAGTTCTCTCACTTTAATAAAGGTTTATTAGGTATTTAACAGGTTGCACCCTTAGAAATTATGTTAAGATATTACATTAGGCATTTTGACTAAATTGTCGTCGTCTATTGCTCCTGTTAAATTTATTAGGCCATAATTCTAAAAGCTAGGAGATAGGTTTTAAGGTATTCTTAAATAAATAAGGGGTTTTTCTAAATTACCCTAGGCCTTTTCCCCCGGCTAGGTTGGGCTAGCGTTTCCGTACGCTAGGTTGGGGGGTGATTTTTATACGGTTGTTGGGATTATTTTTTTTTTTTTTGGACAAGACAGGAATTTACAGTTGTTATTTTTTTATACTATATTTTTTTGTTTGTCTATACAAAGGTTAATAAATTTTGTTGTTTGTTGGAACTGGTGTTTTCATTACGACTGACATGAGGTGTTGAATTAAGGTACAAATAAGCTCGGAAATAAGACCAAGCAGAATCTCAAATCAAAATAAGAACCTGCAGGGGAAATAATAAACATGAAATTATAGGAGAGTGTACAAAAAAATATTCTAGAACCACTAATGAAAATGGTGTTCTAAAGTTTACTCCTATTACACGACACATCAGCAAATTATGTACAATTGTCATAATTAGGATATGTATTCATATCTTTTTAGAACTTCTTGTCTTGAAAAATGTTATCATTTCGATCGCACAGCGTATTTATTTACTTTGCGCGACACAACTTGACATTAATTTACTTAGTTTCTCTTTCTATCAGGCCCGTAGGAGCAATTTCAGTTGGAGGGGGCACATACCATACATTTTTAGGGGGGGGGCTATCAACTAACAAAATTCTTTGACAAGCCAAAAAGGTCATCAGGCGTTATTATTGAGGGGGCACAAGCATATGGAAGCTATGTTTTCTACAGTATTCTGTATATCGGCAAAATTATTACGGAGAAGTGGCACGGTGATTCAAATCACTGATGTCACAGTTTATGCTGGTATCAGTAGTTATTCAAAAATAATCTATGAAGTGATCTATAGGTATTCCTTTTGTTGTTTTTTTATAGACATTATCGATAAAATCAATAGATATGTCTACGCAGCACATGCAGTTAAGGCTGCAGTAAGAAGGCGGAGCCTAATTTTTACGGGAAATGCTTACTATGACATCACACAAATGTATATGTTCTTCAAATTACCACAAAATGAAATGATTTGCTATTTTAAACTGTTTATAGCTTTAAACTACATCAATACTTACTATTGCATGTATTTTTGTCGTTGGTTTAATCCCACAGAGCAATATATAAACAATTCACTGATCGCAATGCACTTGTCAATGTGACGTCATATCGCAAAATTTGACGCAGTTTGTATGCAGTGAGAGGCGGATCAAGTTATATTTTATACAATGAAAAATGTATTTGTAAGTAAATAAAATATATTTGCAGATATATAAGAGGCCATTAACTTGGATGCGATGTATATTTTATGATTTTAATCATATACTTCCCGTACATTTCCTATACTGCCGTATATTTGTATGCAGATTCATTGAAGGGTAATAGAAGGGTCGTAATAAATCGATATTTTGCAAGGGCATACCCTCAATGAATCATGACAAGCTTTTACACATAAACTCAAGAGGTATGAAGATATTTGAAAAGTGCTGCGAACCTGATGAAATCTTGCAAATGAATTAATTATATCTATATTTAATGTACTTGAGGCCATCATTAAAAATATCTTTGTTTCCCCTAACCCGACTCTAAAATCTCAAGTTGGGTAGGTAGGTAGGTAAATAATTCTTTTTTTTTTCTGACAGCAGTTTTGAAAATACCTTCTGGAATTTAATGGAATAATAGCTTTATAAATAAGAACAGTACAAAAGAAAGCGATTTATAAACAGAATATTATATAAATGCCGTTTAAAAGCAAAATAATTTACCACTATTACTAGTATTCAATTGAACTTGTGAAATATCTCGCGCAAGAGTAAATTTACTGAAGTATTTAAGAATACAAGATACCCAGATACGCAAAGACCGGACATCCAAGTATATTTTTCAAACCTACTTTCAGCTTCCAGTGCTTAATGCAATGCACTTTTTCAAGGGCTTTTGAGTTGTGCAGTGGTTCGTTTTCAAGCCCGAAGTAAGGAGCTAATTCTAAGTCGCAGGTTCAAATCCCAATGAGGGACGTTGAGACCGGTCCTTCAAATATATGCCGGTAAAAACTTAGGTCCAGTGTTGCAGTAAGATGCTAGCACGTAAAAGATCCCTGGCACCGTAAAAGATCCCCACTGCTCAATGGCCCAAAGTCCCGAGTACAAATCTATATTTGGAGCCCTCAAATCAGTGTTGTCGTCCCAACAATTCTCAAAGGGATTTAAAGCAAAGAAACAACCTTCAAGGACTACAATCTCAAAAAGCTGTATCATGATTTCAAAACTATTTGGAAAGAGTATGTAAACGATATTTTAATGAACCAAACCATGTCTAAAAATGCCATACACAATGTCATAGTCACGAAGTTTAACCCATGAAAAAAAAAAGGCATGAAGAAAGGACGTCTGAATTATGTTCATCGGGATGAAATATGCAGACATTTTTACAACTCCTGTGGTCCCATATAGTAAACATAAGAACATAGATGAACTGTTTATTAGATCAAAACTCAAATTAAATAAAATGCAGTAACATTGATTGACGTGTTCACAAGGTGGGCCCATAGACTGCTCATGAGGCGGACCTTACCATGTACCAAGTACCTTAATTTTAAAAGACAGAATTGCAACTTTTAATTAGTCATGGTATATTTTATTAACGATATGTAATTAACCAGACGTGTAGGATTCTAATAAGCTAAAGGCATAAGGTTGATACGTCAACTTTGTTTTTTAACACCGTAAACGAAGTAACCCTCTGTGACCACCTGTTATGGACACATTTTGTTTCCAACAAACGCTTGAAAATCACAATAGAACAATGTCGGCCGTTCTGATAAAAACGGATTTAGATGAACCTGGGTTTTTTTTTTTTAATAAAAGTCGATAAACAATAAAAAAATATTTGAATAATCTTATTAAAAAAAACTTTTAAGTCGGTGCGATTTAATTGGGTCGGTCGCGTTAGGGGAAACAAAAGTATTTTTTATTTTGGCCTGACCAGCAAAATATTCAGCATACGGTCTAACAAACGTAATTTTAGCAGTCATATAGTAGAATCTATATAGGTTCGCAGCACTTTTCACAAACTACAAAGAGTGTTGAAAATAATTATAAATTAAACTTAGATTTTCAACGTGGTTATGCCCTTGCAATATTGGAATTTATAGATGACCTCAATACTGCAGGTATATTTGCTAAAATCACGTGACTGCCACATTACGTCACAAGTCTAGGTTTTTTGTTTTTTTGTTTGTATGTTGTTTAACGTCCCTCTCGAGAATTTTTCACTCATATGGAGACGCCACCACTTGCCGGTGGAGAGCTGCAAATTTTGTCCTATACTCGGCACTTACGGCCATTGAGCAGTGAGGGATCTTTTTCGTGCCAGCACCTACTGCGACACGGGACCTCGGTTTATACAGTCTCATCCGAAGGACCGGTCTCCACGTCCCGCAGTGGGATTCGAACCCGCGACGTAAGGATCAACTCCTTACTTCGCGACTCTAGAGCAGACGCTCTTACCACTGCGCCACGCGGGCGACTCACAAGTCTAGGTAAGAAATCTAATCGTCCCCAACATGTAGTTTTCAACCACATTACATTTGTCTGATAATAGTAAAGTCCTAAAAAGAATCGCCCATCCTTGTAAAGAATGTATTTTCTATATAAAAAATTCGCCGATATTTCCATTTGTCACCTTAACTGTACTGCGTACTTATGTCTAATGAAATGATTTACAACATACAGCAGAATAAATATATTTCAATAGATGGTTCAGAGATATATTGAATTGATATTTGAAGAGGTAAACTTGATTCAGCATTACCCTGAAGATATGGCCATCAGATATGAATTATAACATCCATAGATTCCAAAGCTACAGTCTCTTCACAGTTTCAATGCCAAAGAATTTTACCATCAAGGTACAATGTATGACATTGATTCAGGATCATGCAACGCATTAGCACATGAACCATTCCCAATCTTTTCAAAGGACTTTAGATGAAGGCCAGAAGAGAGTCACATTGAGTCAAGAACCTCCTTGTGTGACGGATAGCTAAATTTTATATTTCGAATTCGTTCCATTCAAGGGCTTCTGAGTTAGATGTATAAATGTTATCCAGATAACAGCTAGATAACAGAAAACAGATCCACACAAAAAAGTCCTTATCCCTTAGAGAATAATTCATAATTTTTTCAGAATAAAAAAACAAACTTATATGTAGGTGTTACCTTCTATAACAATACTTTATTTGTTTTGTTTTTTTTTTTGTTTGTTTGTTTGTTTGTTTGTTTGCTTATATTAAATCCATATCATTCAATTAAATGTATATAGTTGTTATAAGCAAAATGAGGGTTTTAAATATGCAACCTGAAAGTTTTTACGAGGAAGTATTTATTAGCTTAAGTCTAAGATGTAATATTTTTTTCTGCCAAAATGAAATTGTACACGGGATGGAAGTAGTATAGCTTTGACAGAATTTATATAAACAATATCTATGATAGCAATTAATACATGGGGTTAGATATATTTATCAAAATCACAAACAACAAAAGAATCAGTGATTCTGCAGCTGTTGTCTAAGTAAGACAAGACTTCCAACACGTTTGATTTTTCACCTTTTGTTATTTTTTTTGGTTCCTGTGGTATTTGATTGTATAGTCTCTATATCAAGTCACCAGTATTGTTACAGTGTCTATAGCACCTGTTGTGTGTATTTTACGAGAGTAGATGTACAATAGGCGGCCTTGTACGCCGGAAAGAGTTTGTAAGTAAATGAACATATTAAGATCATAGCATAAAAAATGATTTTTTTAAAAAAAGAATTTGATGTTTTGGTGTAAAATGTATATTTTTCTGTTCAAAAGTTTAGGAACTCGTCTTACCTTGTAACTGTTAACATTCAAGGGTCCTGTGCTTGCCCAACGAAGACAGTTTGCTCAATATATTTTCTGTAAAGATCACCACAGCTGTTCAATGTTTTGGTTCAACAACTGAATAAATAATACATTTTTTTCTCTTTACATTCGTATGCTTTCTTTTCGTATCGCCACTATTTTTTCACGAATCCTGTATTTTCTTGTGTCCACAACCGAGATGCATTGTCAAAGACCAGCAGGAAATCTTGATTTGAATTAATGTACAGGTGCATAAGACTAGAAGATATTTGGAATTCTATGAGCTTCACATCAACTGAAAAGTTCATTTCAGATTTTTTCTTAATCCCTCTACACATTACACAAAAGGATCAAAATTTGAAATTTCAAATCGGATTTTTCATTTGTCATGCAAAATAATATAGGATAATTAAAAAAGGGCGGAATCCGAGAATCATTTGAGACTGGATTTTTCTAATACTAGTATTTGACCTAAAAATATTTACACTCAATAGCATAAAATTATTATACAAATAATTAGCTTTTAACGAGGTTCGCTCCTGAGCTTTTGAGCAGATTTTTATTTTAACCTATATCTAAAAAAATCTGAGTAATGCTTTAATTCTTACAATAAATTTGGATTCTACAATGCCAAATAAACTATATTCAGTTAAAACTCCATGATTAAATTCCATACCAAAAGCATTAAGTGAGGAACTATATTTTGTGGCGGAAGGTTTTTTAGAAGAAAATGATCATTTTTTCTCTTTTGAAGTATTTAAAGTATGTTAAGTTTGGATTCCTATTTTTACATGCAGTCTGCACACAGAGTTATTTTGTGCAGTGAACTGTTTTATACTGGTCCTAAATTATATATTTAATAAACTGTCATGAATTCAATCATCATATTTGATAAGTAAATCAAATATATTGTGAAAATCAAGAAAAAAAAATAGCCCTAATTTAAGCTCAAAATTTGCACTATTTTAGTAATATCTAAAAATTAACATCACAGACCCCCACTTTTAACTTTCTTTTCTGAATATACAAGATACTTTTAACCATTCTTCTTAAATTCAGTAAAATGTCATTACTTTTAAATGAGTTTTTTGCTTGTTAAATTTGTAATGCTAGCAAAATGAAATTTTTTGAGTGCAAAAAGGTCAAATAATTGAATGTGCGGAGTAATTTAAAAAATTTTTTCGTTGTCAAAAATTTTAATGGGTCTATTCAAGGTGAAATAAAACTGTGTTTGTTCCCATAACTTATTTGAATAAAAAATATCGGAGGAAAAACTTAAAAAGTTGATTTATGTGTAAGACGTTTTTACAGTGCAAAAAGGTCAAACTATATGCTCTGTTGCGCCAAAAGAAGCGCATTGACCCCAGTTTTTTGTTTTGATTTTTAATTAAGCTATGTGTATAAATTCTAAAAATATACTTGATAAAAAATTCTCATTACTTTTAATGTCAGGATCCAACCTCCTTAAGTTTATTGAGATTTAAATATCAATTGCATGAAGAAAAAGAAAAGAATCTGTGCTGTCCTCAAGAAACCAATTGAATCTGCATTCTCTCTCCTTTATATAATTACTCACACATGTGACACATATATATTAAGTGACCCTGTTTCAATATTCATAATTTTTCTTCATGCAGTTAGTAAGTTCTGTTTATGTAAGAAATTCATACACGTGCGTTCTTCGTATCTTTTTGTAATTACAGAGAATACGATGAACAATACAATAAAATGTAAGATAGTGACCAATGTCCCAAGGGACGAATTGACACCGATATAATCTAATTATTACAGGTACAAAATTATTGACAAGTAACACTGTTAGGAAGACAGATTGGTGTGTATTTGCAATAAAAATATGGGATTTTATGTCCAATGTATTGCTTTACACGGAGGTGGTGCTCATAACGACAATACTATTGTGATAATGTCCCTACTCATTCGATACTAAGGTGTTTGTAAATATGTTTCTTGGTATTTGTTTTACCTGTGTGAAGGTTTACTAAGTAATCTGCTTGATTTAGAAATATATTTAGATATTGGTCGGGATAATTTCACTTTACTCAAAAGAGGTAAGTAGTTCTATTTTATTTCTAGGATTAACTGATAAATGTTTTACATTATTAGATTCCCATTATATATTTGTTCCAATATTAAATTAAGGGGGAAAAAAATCAATATTTATCAAGACATCGCACTTCTGATTAAAAGAATAAATTTTGAAATAAAATAGATTGTTAATATTATTTCACACTGTTCATACTCATAATTCTTTTTCTATTAAAAGACCGTGAATTCAGTGATTAAATTCATTGGAGAAGCACTTTTCACAGTCAACATACGTTTTTTCAAGCACACCGCAATGTATATTCATTTTCAGTTCCAGCTCAAACACCATTGTGTATGTTGACTTCAAAATGAAAAGGTCAGTTAATGCTGGTAGTGTTCGTCTGGACGAGGATCTGATGAAGAAAGGATGGGTTGTCTTCACGGGTGAGTACTTGCCAATGGGTTATTTTCACGGATGAGTGAATGGATTGTCTTTACAAATGAGAACATGCAAGGTGGTCTTCATAGATGAGTGCATGGGTTACTTTTCGTGAATAATTGCATGTTTTTTTCTGAAGTGTCATGGGATTTATTCATGGATGGGTGCATTAAAGGGTGCATGCAAGGTTATCTTCTTCAGAGTTGAGTACGTGGTTTGAGTACAGCACTACTATGGCCTATAGCTTTTTTTACATGGATAAGAAAAAGGGAATCTGGGAGGGTGGAACTCAGTGGAAGCAGCATCCGCTGAGAATGTCTAATTATCAGTTCATATATCTCCTATATGTTTTCAAAAGTTGTATACTGTACATGTATCTTTTCGGGTATATCATTTACATAATGTGTATATATCCTTTTCAGGGACGTAACATCGTTTTTGAAGGGGGGGGGGACAGCCAGAGAAAAAAAAAACTTACCTGAAAAATCTTGACAAGCAAAATAAAAATTGTCCGAACTCGAAAATCCTATTTCAGGGGGGAGGGGGGTAGGTTCCAACTTCTTTCAGTACCAAATTTTATCAATACTCTACCGCAAAACCCTTATTTTACTATTCTACAAACAAAAAAGGGAGGGAACCGGCCTTTCAATTAAAATTTCAAATAGTAAAAAAATGTTTTGAAAAAAAGTGGGGGGGGGGGGGGGCTGGCCCTCCTCTTGCTACGTGCCTGCTTTTAAATCTATATGTGGCCATTTTTGACTCAAAAATAGAATCAAAGCATTATTTAAAACAAAATGCATTAAAAAAGGAAAATGATTAATATGATCATATTTAACTATCTTTACAAAATCTAACGCAACAAAATCACACTAGGCGTCTGCGGCTTCATTGAAATAGATGAATCTTTAGGCCAAAATAAAAAATACCTTTGTTTCCCCTAACGCGACCGACCCACTTAAATCGAGCCGACTGAAAAGTTTTTTTGATAAGATTATTCAAATATTTTTTTTATTGTTTATCAACTTTATAAAATACAATTTCATTAAAATTCATATTTTATCAGAACGGCGGCTTTTGTTCTTCTCTCATTTGTGTGGCCACAGAAAGTTGACTCGTGTTATAAAACAACGGCGATTTATCAATCTTAATATATATCTTTAACTTAATAAATCCTACACTCTGGAAACATTTCGTGAATTAAATATACCATGACTAAGGAGTGTTAAGATGGTATTTGCAAATGTGTCTTCTAAAATTAACGTACGTAGTAAGCATGGCAAAGCCTGCGTCATGAGCAGATGAGGGGCCCACCTTGTGTATTGCATATCAATAAATTTCAATGCATTTCATTCGTTTCGATTTAATAAACACTTCATGTATGATTCTATTTTTACTATATAAACCATAGGAGTTTGTAAATATGTCTTTGTATAATTATTTCATCTTGATAAATATAATTCAGATGTCGTTTCTTCATTTCTTTTATTTATGGGGTAAACTTCGTGACTGACTATAACATTAGATATATGAAACTTTAATCATTTTAGATATGGTTTGGTTGAAATAAATATTATTTATACAGGTACACTCTTTTCAAATATAGTGTTGAATTTTTTTTTTAAATTGGCTTATGGTACGGCTTCCTGAGACGTCCTGTGTATTTTTCTTTAGTTACAGGCCCTTGACAATAGGTTGTTTCTTTGCTTTAAAATACCTTTAAAAATTGTTGGGTCGACAACATTTGAACACCCGTCTGGTGGAGGGCACCTAATTTTGACTTTTTTCTTGGTATTTATGGTCATTGATCATAAAGCATCAATAAGGATTAATCTTTTTCGTGCCAACATTTACATGCATACTGCAACACTGCATGGACCTACGTTTTAACGGTCTCATTCGACTGACCAGTCTCCACGTCCCTCGTCGGGACCTGTGACTTACAATAAGCTCCTGAATTACTTCGTGACTCCAAAATGAAACAGAAACACTAGAATTACTGCGCAACGCGAGGCCCTTGACATTTTGTTTGTGTAAGCACTCGAAGATGATAGTAGGTTTGAAAAAAAAAATATACTCGGCTGGCAGATGGTTGAGTATTTGAGAATCTTGTCTTTTTGTAAAAATTCGATTTCATTAAATTTACGCTGGCCTGAGATATTTCACAAGGTCAAAATGAAATGAATAATATTTGTAAATTTATTTACCATACATGTTGTTTTTAAATTTCATTTATATGCTACTCGGTTTAAAACTAGGCTTCTTTTTTTCTTTCTTATCTATAAAGATTTTATTTAATTTTTCAGAATGTATTTTCAAAACTGCTGTCAGAAAAAAAAATAATTTACCTACCTACCTACCCAACTTGAAATTTTAGGGTCGGGTTAGGGGAAACAAAGATATTTTTAATGATGGCCTTACAGTGTTTTGTAGCCTTTAATATGTTATTAAACATTGATAAAACGGACCTCAATACCATATATGATAAAACAGACAAAAGTAATCTATTACAGTGGTTAAGTGCTATCACATTCATAATATACAGCGAATGTCCCATCAAAAAGCAGTGTTGGCAAGTCAGCCATCTATGAAAAATATCTAAGGGCTAGCAATGCTTAAAACTTAAAGCAGCTAGTGTCTCGAGTTAATGGCTTTGAAAGAATCAAGATACATTAATAATCTTCTTTTTTTGGACATTTATGAAATGTATAAAACAATTAATACCAAAATAGGGAGGAAAATGGAAACATCTATATATTTGATGTATAATCGTGTCTGAGGTATGTTTAAGCATAGATATTGACGAATTGATCACTCTTTTTACCTTCTATTTATGAAGTTCTAGTAACACTCATCAGTACTCAATCAATACTATAATTTTGTGTGGGTTGTTTCCCGAGGACTTTTCTGCACTCAAGAGTTCCTAATCACATTTGTGCCGAGTTTTGTGAATGATATATACATGTAGTTAGGTTATTGTTTTCACAGTCTGAAAAGTTATTTTCATATGTAGTGTTAATTTGTAATTTATTTCGTTTTAACATAATGTGCCCAATTTTGTTTTGGAACTTGGGGCTAGTGCATACTGAACGTTATAGCCTCTGAGGACATAAAAGTGTTAATATGGGGGCATAATTAACAATAAATTGTCTGCAGAGCAATATTGCTTTCTTTGCAATGATCTACAACTAGCACCGTTCTTATTGTTTATACATGAAAGACTCTTATCATCATGCCGAAGGCAATCAGTACATAATAATCTAATGAAAGAAAATAATTAATAATAATTTACCTTATAGAAGTATTTTACTTTTTTTGTGACTGAGTAATACATGTATTTGGTTCTTTTTTAATTTCCACTAAAGTTGAAAAGATATTTTCTGATCTCGACTCATTGAATATAAAGGGGAACAAATGATTCAGACGAAAGAAGTATCCTTAAATAAAGTAAAGCACCCCCCCCCCCCAAAAAAAAAAAAAACACACACACACACACACAAACACACACAAACCAAAAAAAAAAAACAGGCAAAAATAGCATAAAACAAAACAGATACTCAACTGGAAAATTAACATTATATATAAGTTATAAATAAGCTCTTTCTTGGAATAAATAGCAAACAAATAAATAATTTTGAGATGGAGATGATGCAAGATAATACAATTTCCTGAACTGTTTATGGATTTTGGCGCTTTTTACATACGTCAGGTCTTCAAACATAATTAATATTTTCAGGTGGATTGGATATTGCGGGAAACCCACTGATAACTTTTCCTGCCTTGGAACAGGTATCGTCTTGGACATCCGACACTCTTCTTCGGCTCTTGCTGTACATGACGGACATTGCAGAACTTATTTTGAAAAGGAAAGCAATGGCTTTTTTGGCCGATTTTCAGAGAGGATTCAGTGAAGAGAAGATGGCAATGTTGATACAAGCACTGCAATCCCTTGAGGTACAACAATTCTAGCCGTTGCAGTCAACCTTAATTTGGTTAATTTCTATGAAGACACTTTTCATTGAACAAAACACCTTTGCATTTGTTTTATTCGAATATGGCTTTTTCCTTTCCAACTGCAATTGGAAAGAAAGCATTTTAGTTTACTTCTGTAAAGATTTTTTTTTATTGACTTTTGTTTAAAAAAATGTTAATTATTTTTGGATAAGTATTTAATTTTTCAATGGCATTAAATAAAATCTTTGTCCTGATTCATGAAAAACACGTAAATGGAGATGAAAAAAAAAACGGTGCTTAGCTTCTGTTGTTTTTTCATGAGATTTGAATATTGTAACGGACTTCTAGAATATTCCCTTTGATTAACAATAGATGTAGTTTTTAATTTTTTTGAATACTGATTAATAATTTCATTTTCTTGTAATTTCCAGTCAGAAAAGAAAGGTACTGTTGCAATTCTCTATGTCCTAAAACCAAAGTCCAGAGGCAAAAGTCATACACTGAAAAAGTTACTTGGCATCAAACAAAAGAAGGACCAAGTGACGTTTGTGAGCCAGTTCAAAGTACGTACATGTATACTTTAAAAAATATCTATACTAGATTTATTATAGTCCTTATTTTATCTAAATGAAATTTTTCGAACATTGCAGTCCATTTTGCTGAAGTCTATCACTGCCTTGCATACTCAGATTGAACCATCGCAACTTATGAGAGACTTTGGCGGAACCATCGCATACGACCAACATTCCTGGATGTACTTCTACAAGGTTAAATTTCAATTTCTTGCAATTATTCATTATTGACATATGCAACCAATTTAAAAGATAACATTTAATTGATTCTTTATAATTTGATGTTTTTCGGGCTTCAGAAAATCCTGCCGACAGTAGCTCTCTCTGAAGAGACGCTAGAGAGGTCTGTGGACATTAAGGACAAAACCTTACTGTTGAAAGATTATGAAATCGCCGGTCATTCGTCAAGAGAACTAAGGAGGCATAAAAAGGACATTCATCAGCGATATAAAGAACTTCAAGGGTAGTTTTAATATTCAATTGATTTGCTTTGAAGTTTTTGAAATGTAAATTGGAAATTTGTTACAAGCATAAGGTAATACCCGGTAAGTGACGTGTTCAACTTGGCTGAATGTGATCTTTTTTTGTAGGGAGAATCACATCAAGACCTCCATTCAAAAATGCAAGCAGGCTTTACACCTGCTTGACGAACATTCTGAGAACGACCCCTTGGGCCACCTCCATCACTTGCTTATTATGGAAGTCACCACAAATGTGAGGACAATGTATCACCAGCTGTTGGAACTGCAAAAGGAGTTGGAACAAATATGGAAAGAACTGAATGATTTACTTGACAAAGAAATTGCGATTAAAACCAAGAGTGAAGAAGCAGAAATAGTAAGAAACAACGAGATGAATAGATAATAGTATTGTTCATGTTTCTTGCACTGTAAGCATCACTAAGCATTATAATTGGTAGATGACTGCAAAAAGGTCCCTGAATTCCTAATCATTTACGGAATAAAATATTAAATATCATGATAATCATCAATATTAGTTGATCGTGAACATAACCACAGACAAAACTAGTTGTTTTTCAAAACTTTGAATCACAGTATTTTACATGTAAGTGTTTATGTATTTCATACGATCTTAAAAGATCACTTAATATTTGTACTTTGTTGTAATAATATCGCTTAACTAAAACTCGTTTCTACTCTTTGTTTTCGTATATAGCTGTGTATGGAGATATCGGAGCGGTTCTGGCCTCTTTTGACTCAGCACCCAACAATTGCTTCCTGCTTGAGCCAAGCGGAGATGTTCAGAACTCATTTTACGACAACATTATATGACCCTGCAACGGTAAGCAAAAAATAACCAATCATCTGTCTTGGTTTTTTTTATCTTGAAGTCCTTAATTTTTTAATTAAGTGTGATAATTAAGTTAGGGCTTGTAACAAGAACAAGATTTTATACAAGTAAAGATATTTTAAAAATTATGTTATTTTACATGGTGAAAAACAGCAAATGATGTCCACAGCCACGCAAATTCTTCAGCATCTTCGTATTGTTAAAAACGAGAGTACTGACCATGCGCCACAAGTGAAGGCTCTTGTCAGCAGACTGACCAATACCGTTCGTCCATTTACTCATCAGCTTAACTCCATCAACCAAATTTACACATCCGTTCATGTCTTCTTCTTTATTTTTGAGAAGGTGAGTTATTTTTCTGTTGGTTTTGGTACCGGCAACTTGATAACACCCCCCCCCCCGTTTTGATATACTATATACTAGTAATTGTTTTGATGTTAAATTGTTTTGGTCCATCATATATAACTACGATAATTATTGCAGTCTCTGACCTGGTACAAGAGATCTCTTAGTTTTATCCCCAACTCGCTCTGTAATCTTGCTGTGGAAACAAACCCAGAGGAAGTATCCTTTCTTTCGGCACCCCCTGACTGGAAGTACAGTGTAAGAATGTTTCTGAAGAAGCACCCAGCTCCGCGCGAGGATCACGTTGCTGGACTCGATAAAAATGCACCAAGGGAAATAGACATTCCATCAAAAACAAGAGGAAGAAAACTAGCAAATAGGTAAGATTCATACACGTGTACATACATGTATATACAATGTATATTTTTTATTTTCTAAAATATGTCCACAAAATAACCACCGTAAAGGTTGACGTGCATCATTAAAGTTTTTAAAAATCTTTTTTAGACTTCGTATTTTAATTTCGATCATGCAAGATACATACCTGGACGTGAACTGTATTAAGGCTATACATGCATGGAAGCAGGATGAACTTACTGACGCCGAAAACCCGGAATTCAATGAATCAGATCAACTTGGTGAAGACGTTCATGCTAAACTCCTTTCTCCATTCAAAAGTCAGAGACCTTCTAGACTTAGACGAAGGATGTGTAGATCACGAAGCAGCCATCAGAATCAACACAGCAAGAGATCATTTAGAATTGGATGTGATGGAAAAGTGAGGCACGTTGTACATGAGTCATCGGATAATGACGGTCCTGGCTTTTCCTCTGAGAGTGGCAGTTTAGGTAAAGGAGAAGGGTTGGTGAATTATTGTCAAGGAGAAAAAAACTGGAGACGACAGATCAAGCATCAGCCACTTTCCAAAAGGATTCGAAGTTTCAGAAGTACGTCGTCGATTCAGTCTTCAGGAAATTGGTCAATGAAGACGGATAGCGCTGTTGATTTTATCTATAAAATCACGTCTTCCAAGTCTCTATCTAGCGAGAAGAAATTGCAGTTTGTGTCCGATATCCTTCTTGTCATAGAAGATGACGACGACGATTGTGAAAAGGAGGTTTACGATGGTTACAGCACAGCCAACGAAACATTATTTGCAAACCGATCACTCAGCAGAACACCAGCTGAAACGGTTTCAGAACTGACGGGACGTCTTTGTAAATCTCTGGACAATATTATAGGTTCAGAGATTCTTCCTGACCAGCGAAGTCTTTCTTCCAATCCAGGAACAAAATCATTAAGCAATATAAGGAAGACTGATTCAGAAGTCCAGTTATGGAAGCAAATCGAGAGTCGTTCTGCTTCCATGAAAAGCGTCCATATAGACGACAGAGGGTTTTCTTCGAAATCAGACGAATCCGCAGATGACATAGACGACTCTGCACCAATAGAAGTCCTTACCAGAAACAGACCCACGCGACAAAATATTCGAAGAAAAAGGTAGGTGGAAAGACCTTTAATAAAATTACACTGAGTATCAGGAAGACAATGACTAAAATGGTACAATGATTTAATTTCTATCTGTTGCCCACTTTCAGACGAAACACAACTGACAACTGTGATTTGAGTGCGATACAGAAAGATTCCCTAGTCCGGAATAACAGTGATATGATTTTAGCAATAAATCCAGCAGACTCCGGACTGACCAAAACAGTATGTGATCTTTAAATTTATCGTTTTCTTTTATTTTTTTTGTTCAGTATAATTCAGTGCATATAATTAAATGAAAGCAGGGTACAACCCAGCTGTCCTATTTAGGTATTGAAATAAAAAAAAAAAGATATATTTTTTTGGGTTATAGACATGTATTACGATTTTAAGTAATATTTCAAGAAATTTCGTGATCTATTTTTACAGAACAAGCTAGTCGATTCCTAATGTCCTTTAGACGGTCACATTTTTGTGAAGTCTTAATTTTCTTAGTTATATTTGAATGTATTTTAGGGCCTTACGGGAAAACAAGAAATAAAGGGTGGAATCTCTTCCTCTCTTGACCTCAACCCATTCCTGCCTGGTGCATACTCTGGTCATAGTTTAAAGTCTGATGCCACAATAGATACCTGTTTGTCTGCCATTGACCCTAAATATCCCCAAAGTCAATTTTACATTGGGGAGTCATCAACCAGAGGAAATGGAGAATATGACGTGTAATTCTTTGCAAGTTTTACTGTGTGTGATTTCAACAAAATATAGTGATTTCTTTTTTTGGCCAAGCAACGGTAACATCGTGGAAATAAATGGGTAATATTCTGCAAATTACCATGTCAGCAGACCGAATGTAAAATGATTTATTTTGCTATCAGTTGTAGCTTTAAATGATCATAATCTGTAAAATCAAAATTTATTGCAGATTCATGTTTCTTGCGAAAATGCATTTATTTAAATTATTGTGAATAAATGTCGATCCACGGTGACCAATAGCGCCCACAATGAACAGTGATGCCATCTAAACACAAGGGGAGGAAATCCCAGAACGGTCTAACTGGTGATTTTTTTTGTCTGTTTTATCTGATTATGGTGTAAGTAATTTAAACAATGCAATCAAGCTTCTAACGAATGTTCACTTTCTATTTGTTGTATGTAGACAGATGTGATTATTCTGAAATCTGTTCACATCTCTAGGTGTCAGATAAGACGTGCGCTGCAGAATTGTAAATTTGCGCCAAGAATTTCTAAGCAGGCCAACTTTTCCTTGGCTAAATATATTAATTTTATATTTGGAAGATGTATAAAAGAAATATATCTGAATTGAGAGATGTTTGCAACGAAAAAAACCCGAAGATTTGCATTTCTTAATTTCGTGCAATAGCAAGTACTTCCCATTTATAAGGTTAACTTTGATTAATGCATGGACTTCCCCACTGAACAATATTATGCAAATAGAAGAAATATATAGGCATATGTACGGAAGCGTATTAGTGCCTTATTTACACTTTTTATTTTGCACTCTTTGATCTGTAAAATTCACACTTAAATCTGTGAAATTTACACTTTAATATGTCTAATTTACACTGAAATCTGTAAAATTTTCACTTTAGTAAATAAAAATTACACTTAAATCTGTACAATTCACACTTTAAATTAAAAAAAAAAACTGCACACTTAAATCTGTATATTTTACACTTTATTCTGTAAAATTTAGACGTTGCAAAATCTATATATTAACATCTTTAGGTACCAAATAAGACTTACGCTGTAGAGTTTTAACATTGCGCCAATAATTTGTAAGAAACATCTTCAGTCTGGCTTAAAAATACTATTATTTGGAAGATTTATAAAATGAATACATCTAAATTGAGAGACGATGTTTACAACAAAAATCCTTCTTCCCATTTATAAGGTTCACGTTGATCATTGCATGGACTTCCCATCGAACACTACACTTGTATTTTGGAAAAAGAAGAAATATATAGACATATACTGTATGCATATAACATATCGTTATGCTTTTCGATAAACAATGAATTCCAGGCAAAATTATAAAGTGCAATATTGGGTATATTTTATTAAGAATGTAACATTAATAAAATAAAAAAATAAAAACTCGCATATATAAAGTATGTACAGGTCATTTTCTCAAAACTTTTGTTTGGATTACATGCATGAAATTTTTCTTTGAGCTGGAGTCAAACGTTTCATATTTTCACATCGGTAAAATCAAGTGTTTAAAATCTTAACCACATCGTCAAAAATGATAATTTTCTTAAATGTCTTTATTTTATTTGTTTGAAAAAAATAAATTCTGTACTCTGATTTGACACATTTTAACACATATCAACTTTAAAATGTGTACACAAAGGGTTAATCTTCAAAATCTACCTATCAAATAACAAAGGTGGTGCTTTTTGCACTAACATTCATCCTAATTATCATGCCATGAAAAAGGAATCTGATGTGGGTTTTTTTTTTTTTTGGGGGGGGGGGGTTGCATGTCTGCATTTGATTTGGATTCTCCAGGATTGGAAGATACGTGAAACTGTGACTGTTGACCAGACGGAAAGTTGTCATATAAGAAAAGGAAGTATTTCTAACCGAAAGTATTATACTGGTTTACTATCCTTTTTGCATCATTACGAAATTAGCTGGACATAACTGTTCGTTTGAAAGTCAATATCTATTTGTCATATCAGTAAAATGACAGTTACTTTTAAAGTCACATATCTAATGCATAATTCTCTTCATCATTTATGCACCTGACTTGGTCCAAAATATCGTAAAGGAGATTCAGATTAGGCCATCCTTTAAGTAAGAGGCCCATGGGCTACATCGCTCACCTGAGCATTTGGCTAGGCGTTCAGTATTTTATGTGGTACCAACCTAATCGTAGGGGGAGGGGGATGATTTGAACAAACTTTAATCTACACTAGCTGAGGATGCTTCTATATTTCTTTGACAAATCTTGGCTTAAGAAGATTTTAAAAGATTTTTCCCATAAGTTTTATCTTCTATTGTGGCAACGCCCTACCCCAGGGGACATTAATTATCTTTGCTGTTCTTGAGAAGATTTTTAAAGATTTTTCCAATGTATATCTATATAAAACCTTTGATTGTCCATTGTAACCCACCCTACTCATGAGGGTCATGATTTGAACTCGCTTAAATCTACGCTACCTGAGGATGCTTCCTTATAAACATGTTTAATCATGGTTTTGCTGTTTTTGAGAAGATTTTTAAAGATTTTCCCTATGTATTCCTATGTAGAACTTTGATCGTCCATTGTGGTCCCGCCCCAACCCTAGGGGCCATGCACTACCTGAGGATATTTCCACGTAAGTTTCATCTTTCCCTGCCCAGTGGTTCTGGAGAAGAAGATTTTTAAAGATATTTCCTATGTATTCCTATGTTTAACTATGATCACTCATTGTGGCCCCGCCCCAACCCCGGGGGTCATGGTTTGAACAAACTTGAATCTACACTACATGAGGATGTTCCCACATAAGTTTCATCTTTCCTGGCCCAGTGATTCTTGAGAAGAAGATTTTTAAAACATGCCACCAAATTTTCATCATTTTTTAATTATCTCCCCTTGAAAGAGGGTGTGGCCCTTCATTTGAATAAATTTGAATCCCCTTCACCCAAGAATGCTTTGTGGCAAGTTTGGTCAAAATTGGGCCAGTGGTTCTGGTGGAAAATTAACGACGACAGACAACGGACAAATTTTGATCAGAAAAGTTCACTTGACCCTTCGGCTCAGGTGAGCTAAAAATTGTTAGTTTGCCCTTTCCCGACCGACTGGATTGAAATGGCCCGACTCAAAACTTTTTTTAACCTCTAGGAAACGATTATTTTTTTCTTTTCATTCCGGTATTTTCTCATTCTGTCATCAAGTTCGTTGAATACATGTACATTTTGAAAATTCAGTAGTGATGTTGAATTTTTTTTTAATCCCACCTACCTACCGACCCAGTTTTATTACCCTCAGTTGGAAGAGGGCAAACAAACATTATTTTACAGATGGCCTATGAAAGAACATATCCCCTTATGATTATTTGAAATGGTGAGGATGTGTTAGAAATCATTGAAAGATTTTTTGCCCCCATGAATGGACGGGACGTGTAGTGTTACCCAATTTTGTCCGTCATCGTCATTTTGTCATAGTTTTACGGACTCTTTTTTATGCCCCCGTAATCGAAGATTCGGGGGCATTTAGTGTTTGACCTACTTTTGGAAAACTTTAACCTTGTCCATTACTTTTGAACAGTTGGTTCTAGGACTTTACATATGTAATCCTTGTGACAAGACCTTACTTTGGATACCAACAACTTTGACCTTTTGTCCTTGACCTTGAAGTTTGACCAACTTTTGAAAAACTTTAAGCTTGGCCAGAACTTTTGAATGGTTGGTGCTAGAGCTTTCATATTTCACATGTGTATTTCTTTGAGAAGACCTTTCCTTGGGCACCATTAATTTTGACCATTACCTTGATGTTTTACTCACTTTTGAAAAAAATAAACTTTTCCACACCTTTTATGACCGCGGAAAATTAACTGGCAAAATTGGAAATATGCAGTTTACGTCATTTCCATCTGTTACAGTCAAAACATTTAATGATAGACAATGAAATGGGCGGGTACAATTCAACACGGACGTTCGAGAAAACTTTGAATTGAAATTCTAGTTGTCTTCTGGGTCAATCAGTAACACTGTGCGTTCTAGAGTAGCTGAGGTGGATTGAAAATGAATTTCAAACTAGAATTTCAATCCAATGTTCTCTCGGACGTCCGTGTCGAATTGTACCCGCCCATGCCATTGTCTTTCATTGAACACGTTGACTGTAACAGATAGAAATGACACAAGCTGCATATTTCCAATTTTGCCAGTTAATATTCCCCGGTCTTAAAAAATAAAAGCTCTTCTAATCCTAGAAATTAATATATTCTTCATGTGAAGGCATGATCTGACTCGACAATTTTTGACAGCCCCCGCACCCTTCTAGAATCAAATGACCGTTCCCTGAAAAAATAATCTCTGTCTTCTATGACTTTGACGTGTCCTTAAAATTATAGGCTAAAACTCATAGATATGAATTTCAAACACTTATTTGGGAATTGAATTTATTTGTCTTTTGGATTTTGGATTTTACATTCATTGAATTACATACATTGAATTTCAAATTTTTTTCAGTGAAGAAGAAAATAAATAATGTCTTTTGTCATCCTACAAATAACAATAAATTCTTTAATGTGAGGCATAACAATCTGATTCGACAAAATTTGCCCCCCCCCCCGAATCTAATGGCCGTCCCCTGAAAGAATATAGCTACTATAACTTTTGTGTGCCCTCAAAATATTGGATAGCAAACTGTTATACATTAATTTCAAACTATACGTATTTGAGAACTGAAATTATTCGTCGTTTAGATCATACATACAAATAAAAGTTTATTTTTAAATGTGCAATTGTTTATTAAGAGATCTGGTCGTTTTTGAATTTATATATTTAGATTCATTTGTACATACTACATCAAATCAATTTTGTACATGCATAACCTATGTAAGCTGATAATCATATTGACCTTTGGTTCCAGTGTAGTTTAATTTTTGAACATTTTTTTGTGCAATTAATTGTTATAAAGAAGAGGATGTTCTAAGTTTTAAGAACTTGTGTCCGATCATTTTGTTGTAACATCTGAACAATAAAATATGTTCAAATCTAAATCTAAATCATACATTGTATCACTTTGCGAAAAATAGCTCAGGTGGATTGAAAATGAATTTTGAATTGCAATTTCAATCCAATGTTTTCGCAGACGTCCGTGTCAAATTGTACCCGCCTATTTCATTGTATATCAAGTGTTTGACTGTGACAGATGGAAATGACGTAAGCTGCATATTTCCAATTTTGCCAGTTAATGTTCCGCGGTCTTAATGGTTGCTGCTAGGGCTTTCATATTTCACAGGTATATTCTTCGAAACTAGACTTTACTTTGGGTACCAACATATTTGATTTGCATTCGAGAAAGTTTAACCTTCGCTATAAGTTGCTATACGGGGGCATCAGTGTTTCACAAACACATCTTGTTATTTATTTTTTTTATACTATGCTTGTAGACTGTGAGCTGACTTTTGGTATGTTACTTGATACTGATGACTTACAGATCATCTTCAAGTTCAAGTTTCGTGTTGATTGACCAATTTTTACAAAAGTTAGACTGAAAATATCTAAACGTTCAATGTTTTCTGGATTCTTCTTCTTCTTTTTTTTGGTTAAACTTGTAGATAATGAGTTGATTTGTATGATTCTCGATATTTATGACTTAAAGATCAAGTTTGAGTTTCGTATTAATTGGCCTATTTTTACAAAAGCTATGGTCCTAAGATTTTCAAGATTCCAATATTTACTGCTTTCAGGACCATTTGTCGGTGCTTGTTGATAAAGAGCTGGGTTTTTTTTTTTAATTTTTATTTATTTTGGATTGTATACTTTCCAATCAGGTTGGAGTTCGTGACAATTCATCTCTTTTAAAAAAAGTTATTGCCGTTAGATTTTCAAAACTCTTAATTATTCACCGTTTTTCTGTATTGTTTTTGTGCTTGTAGATAATGCTTTTTTGGTTTGTCATTTTGCATTGAGGAATTCATGACTTAATGATCGAATATGAGTTTCGTGTTAATTGACCCATTCTTACAAAATCTTTGACCCTTAAAAATTTCTATTTATTCACTGTTTTTGGACCTTTTTTATAATGTATCTTGTAAGTGATCACCATTTTATGCAGCTTACGTATGTTGTGTTATGAAGGAAGATAAAGTCAAATTTAAAATACTGCCTTTAACAAGCCTCAAAAATGTATCTCTATTTACAAACTACATGTAATGTACATGCATCAACTTGTGTTGAAGCTTTATTTGTTACCTCTTTTCCACTTGATCCTGGGTGCGCCAGTAGAGGTTCAACTTTTACATAAAACGACGTAGGATTGTTTTGAAGAAAATTTATTAAACTTATGTACAATCATCCAATGTAATTTATATTGGACGTTCATAAAATCAAGGCTACGGAATTTTGATGTTTCACATCAGGTATTTAAATTTAGTTATAAATATCTTAAAACAATTTTAAATGCCTTTTTAAGTTATAGTGAAACTATAGGTAGGGAGATGCGAATTTGCATGACTCCAGTCCTTTGATTTAAGCTGTTACCGCAAGGTGTGTTTCAAAATTTACAAAGAAATATCGAAGAGTCTTCCGTCAAGAGCAAGCAAAGAAGTAATAGACTCTTTAATATTGACAATTGCGAAAAGTAAGTGCAAATCATAGCACTGTGAGTCCGAGAGGTTCCATAATACGGGTTAAAAAAAATTTCACAGCAATACAATTACTTAAGTTCCATTTTGATATGCAAGCCCTTGAAGGCAGATTTAATAGATCAATTCTGGGGGAAAGGTTTGACTAAGCTTGGGGCTAAAAGAAGGGGATCATTTATCCGGTATTCTGTTGTTAGAAAGAAAAAAGATAAGCATGTGTGCACGGAGGTCTCTTTCTTCATTGTAACCTTCTATTTCTTTTATTCATACAAAACAATACAGCATTGCGAAATATAATAATTTATTCATAACAAATAGTTCATTCATGTTGAAAGAAAAAAAGCTTGAATAATTATGACACTGATCATAAATGTAAAAAATAAAACTATGCACAAAAGTGCATATAATTGGATAGGACGATGAAAACAAATATGAAAAGATGATATTATATACAAGAAAATGTTCATCTAGATTTTCTGGATTAATTAAAGCCGGGTTTAGTTTATAAGGAGATCACAGATGTTCCACAAGCATCACTTTGCTTTATAACTAAATGTGTTAATTATCTGAAAAAAAGGAAGGAAATGTTAATAATCAATTCTTGTGAACTTCAAGCATACAAGAATAATCTTTACGATAATAGGATACAAGCAGACCTTCATAAAGATTCTCTTTTCTGATTTATTTTGATAAAGTGTTTATTAACAAGAAAAGTTTCATAATAATACATGTATGTTGATTCGTTCTTAACACCTGCTTAAGTGTAGAAGTAATATTTGAATTTACACTTTGCTGCGGCTATTAGTATTTTTTTAACTAATACCTCAATGTTTGCTAGGTATATGGGATAGTCTCCCCTTCAGTACATTGAGGAGTGATCTCCTCTTCCTTCGTTTTCCTGGCCCGTGGGGTCCCATTAAGTAGTAATACTGGTCAGCTATAGCCGAGGCCCACTCTGTTCTACATGCTCCGGATAACTCCACATCGCATGTCCGTTTTCTGTCAAAATGCATATACACATGTACTTTAAGCCTCCAAGAAAAAACGTTTAAGCATGGCAGATGAAACATTGTCAAAAAATAATGTACCTTATTGACTATCTGACGGATATAAAGATTGTTTCTAGTTGTTGGATAAATACAAGTTAAAAGGAAAACTTAGAAGTTTCGTGATACATTTAATTAATACATATTGATTGTTGAACATCGTATTCATTTAATGTCCATTACATAAATACTCTGAAACTTGATTACGTTTTTCATTCTCCCCAGCTGATTTACAACGTATATCGCATTGCATTGTTAAAAAATATTTACAGATTAGGTTATTTTCAATAAATATACATAACACCCACTTATAAATATATTTCTTTCTCTGAATTTCACGGGAAAATGATATAATGATTAGATATAATGATAAAAGGCATTTAAACAGAAGATTGGATAACAACATTGCATTTTTACTCCACAAAATTGTATCTGAATCATATTGAGCGTTGGTAAACAAGTGTGTTTTGAATGAAGTGAAAAATGATTATTTTTCCTAACAAAAAAATCTATGTCCTGGTTGTTTTGTTTTTAATAAGAGATGAACAAACCAAAAACAAGAGAGAGAAAGAAGAGAGTTACAGAAACACTATTTTGATTTTGATTTTCATGCTCATATGCATTAGAAAGTTTCTTTTTACAGACTGGGTAAGGTAGAGGAATGAATATTTTTTTTTGGTATTTTTCCTATTTATCTTTATTTCCTATTTATTATTAGATGTGTACATACTTTAACTGTTTAATGCTGTTCTCTTTTTCATCCAATAATTCCAATATCCTGTCCATGTCTTTCCGTCTCTTTGCTAATTTAGCGATGTACCTGAATAAAAAAATCCATACAAATGTCTTATTAAATCAAGATTAATCTTCGGTAAAATCTAAATCTAATGTGACACGCAAAAAATAATGGCAAACATCTAGTATCAACGCTGTATTATCAAAGTACATAAACAGAACTAGACGTGTCAGATCGGAATAAAAATAATTTTAAAGTACCACGTATAACGAAATATCTTCTGTCTGAATTTGGCATCAGTCAATTAAATGAAAGAGATACACCAAATGGAGACTAATAGTTCCGGAGTGAAATGTCTTGGGGGTATGTAGACTGCACGTAGGAAACTAAAGCTTTCATTGATGAAACATTTGTTTTAATTACCCTGCAATTCATAGACGCAAACTGCTGCAATCATATACTGTCACTTCTATATATTGTTGAGCACGCAATGATAAATTCGGATAGAATAAGTTTATCCCTGTTTTTAATTTTGTCTATATCATCTTATCCTTTAAAGGTAACGAGTTCCAATGCGGTTAATGTGCCCCTGGGTTTTAAAATATTATGCAAGACACAACATTGACTACATCATTTATAGAGAGCACCGAAATAAATATAATGAAACATTTATTTTCTTTCTCTTTTTCTTGTGCAATTCTGTTCACGATTTATTCTCTCTTTTTTTTTTAAAGGACTTGCATTTATTACAAGAAACACAAGAAATAATTCTTTCCGGAAGTAAAACAAAAAACCTTGAAAAATCATATTTGCAATTGACAAAAATGAGTTGGAATTTTCTTTTTCAAATCAGCAACGAAATACTGATGTTCTATCGCAAATGTTTTACAATCTAGAAAAGATGCTGCAAAAAATTAAGCCAACATGTTAAATAAATATAAATCATCTTTGATAATTTCCTTGAGTAGCAGTTTCTAGCTGAAGGAAGTATATAATTGAAAAAAAAATATTCATTTAAAAAAAATCCTTGCTACGAGAAAGAAAAATGGAAATTAAAGTACAAATGTCAGTTTAAATACCCGAGCAATCCATAAAATATTTACCACATGTATACGCCTATTTCGCCACAAATTCAATAACCAATATTCCGTACAATTAAAACATCTCGCATTAAGAAGATGGAATAAACAATTATTTCAATGAACGTCAAGGTTCCATCTCCGTATTTTATAGCATTATATCAATACTGGATGCGAATAAAGTCAACTACTCCTGAATGCCCATCATGAAACGCTTCAAATTGAATGATCTCTTTAAAGCCAAGTTTCATGAACTTAACTGCACACCATAGAGAAATTTAATCCTAAAAGGAGCAATTATAGATCCTGGAATTAAAAATTAAAGACTAATTTTCTTTTCCCCGCTATTGTCTTAGATATAGGCTCTCTGCAAACTCTATTATCAGTGATGGGGGAAAGGCAATCCGAAAAAAAAATTTGTGATCAGATAATTGCTGGCTGTAATTGGAAACATTGTACTTTTAGAATTCCAGTGTAGACAGATAGTAAACAAATTTCTCTTCATTTCCCTACAAATCGAAATTTGTGTTACAATGTATTATAAGTTTCTCACGAAAACAATATCATATATATGGACATAGCTGATATATTCAAATGACTGAAGTTCTGAAAGAGAACTTACAACTAAAATCACCAGATTTGCCGTCTCTCCACAAAGACTATCTTAAAAATCAAAACAAGAGGCCTTGACGGTCACCTAAGTATCATGAGTTTCTTAAGTTTTGGCTACTTTGCCCACGCGCAGAACTAAAACTCCAGACTTATGTGACAAAACTTTTTTAGCCGGGCTCATTGCTCGAAGAGCAATAGCCGGCTTTTGTTACGGTGTTCAACCGGAAATGCTGCTTCCTCACCGCCAAATCAAATACGAGTAAGAATATAGTACGTATGCTCAACCACCTTTGAAGCAATACAAACACTAAAATAAACAAATTTAAGTTAACTGCAAAATTCTCTAAACCCAAAAGCATTAATGGTAATATACTTTCTCCCCTCTTCTTCAATTAAGTATTTGTTCAAAATATGCGAAAGGTTTTCATCAAGTCTCTGTCAACGTCACATTCTATAAATAAAGAACCTTGTGTTATCAGGCTAACACTAATGCGGGGAGCACGTGACCCGATGCGCACCTTTATGCAAAACTCCCCGCTGAGGACCCGTCTGTGCATAAACGTTTGACCTTGCTGCATCAATGTTTATTTACTTCTGTAAGTGATGTTAAACCCCGAAACGATACATGTGATAAATTGTTTACGATGTTAAATTCAAACTGCATTTTATTTAATTTTTTAAACATTTTTCTTATTTATACTATATGCCATAAATATATTTTTTGTGTTACATATTCTTCCAGTGTCTTGTTGTTATTCATCTGTTATTACAATGTATGTTTCATGTAAAACGGAATTGTTCACTTTTCTGTATATGAGCCCGGCTCTCTGTACTTCTGAGTACTTTGATTTCAGTTTGGAGAGAGATGACGCTATAATCATAACCATACTAATGCAGCCTGTTTCCTAAAAATTAATTCAGAGTTAAATTATCATGTAAACAGTTTGTTAGCAAGCTGTCTCTGAAGATTTTCAAAGGGGTATGTATTTCTATTGTATGGCCTACTTCGCCTCACCCTGACGCCCAGCTCACGGGCCCAGGGCATTGGATTTCACAGTTTTGGTAGGAGGCCGTGTTATAATCATGAAAATATGTTGCCTGTTACATGTACGAGGGTTGTTCGGAAAGTTCGTGGACTAGCGCCATAAAATTAAAACCGCTTAAGATACATCAATGAATTTTTTAAAGTTTAGTTAGCATCATCTTATTTGTTTATAATAAGCTATACATCATTAGTTTTATTTTTTAATAAATTGTTGATGTTTTTGAAAGCAATGGTATGTCCAGGCGGCGCAACCTCGAAGATAACGTTTTTTCTACCTAAGTGTAACTGAGAAAAAAAAAAACTCATTTTTTGATATGAGCATTTGTCATTCAAAAATCCCGTTAATTCACTCATGTGGTATGACACAATTGTACCGTAAAATTTGCAATTTTTACACCATTCTGTAAGATCTATGAAAGTTTATCGTAAAATTTATATGAAATGTCCAAAAAATTATGGGGTTGTAATGACGTCAGAAAGGGGGGTGGGTTTCTTTTTCCAACATTCTATGAAGTTTCGCCCTCAGGAAAAACTGGCATAGACCTAGGAAATATTTAAATGGGCTACTGAAAAATAAAATGCATTCAGAATACTTGTTTTTAAACGCCGAAAAAGATTAGAGAGACGACAGATGTAAAAGTTAATGTGGATTTGTAGTAAGGGTGTTCAAAATTTGTCATGTCGAAAAGTGACGTTGATCATGTGTAATAGATTTTGAACTCCGACAAGCAAATATGCTGTTAAATCAAGTGAGGATCTTTCAAATCTATTTACAATGTTATATGTATTGAAACCAGCTGTTTATGACATTGTAAAATCATATAAACAAGACGGGTTTAAATCTTTACTAAACTCCACGGAAACTCGTCAAGATAAGTGTATGAGGTAGAAAATGCGGACATTGAAAAACAATGACGTCATGAAACTATATGGCGACAGCGCCGGGTGATCATATAATGTCTTTTTTATTTTATGATAATTTGGTAAATATTCAAGGTATCAAGCTAAAATTTTCAACATTTCTTTAATTTTTGTTGTTTTATGTTCATTACAAATTTTGTAAGCATAGACTACATAGTATTAATTTTATCGCATCAGTCCACGAACTTTTCGAACAACCCTCGTAATTGTCCATTAGTAGAGAAGAGGATTCTCTATAACGTTATGTATTTCCAATACATTACCAACTCAGCTCCAGCCCAGAGTTTAAAGTATGGACCCAGGTGCTATGCATTTCACAATTCGGAAAAAAGGTTCAGTACTCTTTACAATAATGCAAACAGTTTGTCTGCTATTTGTACACAAGCAAAGATGATGCTCAGATGTGTTATGTATTTTCAATATATTACTTAGTCCCATCCTGGAGCCTTAAAAAACTAGACACAGGGGAAATGAATTTTACAATTTTGGTAAAGGGTTATGCTCTCATTGTTATCACATTATCAGCTGACCCACTATTATATATGACTAACTTGGCTACACCCTGATATACCTGGGAATCGTAACATAAAGGGTACTTAAGTCTAAGACCATGCTTAAGTAGGACTTAAGCATAGCCTTAAACTTAAGACCGTAACTAGAAACGTGCTAAGATTTGACAATCTTAGCAAAACTTAGGCGGCCAGTAGAGGTGACTTTAATATGTCTTAACTTTCTTAAACATATATTTAGAACTATTTAAGGTTGAATTTCTATGTTAAAACATTCTTCTATTTATATTATGCATTAAAAAAAATTTTTCTTTATTTAATATACTGGTATAAGAATTTTAGTTTTTCGTCGGGGGGGGGGGGGTTATTGATCACTGACTCCAATATCACTCTCTAAATGACAGATATGTAAAGGCAAAATATTATTTTCGGATATGTTTGAAATATTAGTGGGACCTAGGTTATGAACATCATTATAAGTAAATTGTCTGCAGTAATCATGGATTTGAGAAAGAGAGAGAGACTTGTTGATAAGTTGGAGATATACGAAAAATTGTTTTCTGAAAACAAGTCTTTCCCATCCTTCGTTGAATTGTAAATAAAATAAGTGTATCATAAAACGTCTGCACCTCTGCTTGCTAATATGGGAGGGGAAAAAATTGAAAATGTCCTTATGGTTTTTTACTTTTTTTTAAAAATTAGATTTTCAATTTCAAGTAGCTAGACATTCGGTTATCGTGTCATGTCTGCGAGAATGACAACTGGAAAGCAAGTGAACATTTGTCAAAACGAAAGAATAACAACAAACGGTAAACTGAAAACATCGCAGTCTCGAGTGATAAAACAATACTCAGGCATTTACAATGAACCACTACTGACACTTTGTGACCGTGCAATATTTGTTTTCAAATATTCAGAACAATTTAAACAGAATTATACTTTTAATACGAAATCTAATCTAACCTAGCTAAAACCGATAGGTAAGGACGTCAACTTCAATATATATGTGTAATTGAAAACGTAACTAAATCATTTTTACAAAAATATATATGAATATATTGAAAAACTAGGATAATTCATAAAAAAATATTTTGAACATAAGTTTGACTTAGCTAAGACCTAGCTAAGTCCGTTTTATGTTACGGTCTAAGACATACTTAAGTAGTGCTTAGGCAGATCTTAAGATTGCACCTAAAACATACTTATGACCCTACTTAAGTCAAAAAATTAGCAAGCTTTATGTTACTACCCCCAGAACCATAGGCCCGGAGGCCATGAATTCCACAGCTAAATGTCGATGAGTAGAGGAGATTTTCTAAGATTTTTTTCGATATATATATAATCTAGTGTAAGCTCCACTCTATAGTCTGAACTATGTATCAAAGAGGCATGAATTTCACGTGAACAATTTCCGGTAAAAGATAAAAAAAAATAATCATACATACAGTTTGTCATATATAGATAGCTATATGAGTAAATAAGAAAGTTAATAATTTTATAAATATTGCATGCTGAGGGTAACATTGAAAATTTTTACCCCAAGAAAACCATTGTCAACCGAGGCATAGCCGACGTCCACAATGGTTTTCCTGGAGTAAAATTTTTCAATGCTACCCCCTACAACATGCAGTATTGATTATATTATAATGAATGTTTATTTAATAATATTAATACAGATAAGGGTGAATCGCGCGCACATTCATGTAGATTAAGCGCAGTCTATATATATATATATATATATATATATATATATATATATATATATATATATATATATATATATATACAGTGGCGCCGCGGTAATCCGGACGCCAATAATCCGGACGCTTCACCTTCCGGACGATATTTTTTGGGAACCGATTTTTTCCACGTTATTCTGTCTCATTAATCCGGAAATTCGCGTTCCGGATCCGGACAGTCAATTTCTACTACAAAACGCAATATTTCATTGAAAAATGACTCGTTTATCTGGATGGTAATTTTTTGAGGAACGACTTTTCACACCTTTCTTGCAGTAGTGATAATTATTGTAAAAACATTGTCCGTGGAGTCAGTTTGAAGGCGGTTACCTGTGACCTCTAAACAATAGCGTCTATAATTAGCGTGTGTTTACCTCAGCTAAAACACACGTCTTTTATATTATAAAGCCAGAAGAATTTAGCTTATACTGTGCATTAATTAAATTGCTAACGTATATAAATTTATGAGAATTTTGGAGAGTTGTAAATAAATTTTTTACTGAATAATAAATCACGAGATTTCGTTGTGGTATCGAGTTACCTAAGTTTATCAAAATACGATCGAACATTATTTGAACATTATTTGAAACTTTTTTTCTTTTCATAAGACAATTTATTATGATACATAATTCAAGAAAATATATTTCTATTAATGCACTAAGAAATACGTAACTTGCGTTAGTTATAAATGCCGATCACGTCTTTTCAAGATATATAACTTAGAGTTTATAGAAAAAGTATTGATAATCCTGAATATGGCTTGTGTTTACGTTGAATGTTTGCAATACGTACACTGATTGCAGTATTTACCGGTAGTTACTTACTTCCCTATGTAGTGAATATACGCGGTTAATCATTTGAACATTCTCAATGGTGATAATGAACAGTTCTATACTTAATATGAGCTTGAATAAATATTAAAAAAAAAAAGTGCCGAAATAAAACAGTAGCAGATCAAAATCTGGTCAGCCCATGTAACTACATGTCAAATAGAAGGCGGGTAAAGTTTCCTGTGTTAGAAAAGGAAGTCTCAACATAAAACTGCCTATCCAATTTTCATCGTGTAAATTACATTTTAATTTTTTTCTTTTTTTAAATATCTATTATTTCTTTTAAAACTATAAAAATAAAATCAATACGTCAAGGTAAAATAAAGGTGTTTTCTTTGCCTTCACATTTGATACCACTATGTTCGTATGTATTTGATTTAAGAGGATACGCCTTTTAAGAAGTGATTCACTTATCCGGACGATTCATTTATCCGGACGATTTCATTGGGGACGGAGGCGTCCGGATTAACGAGGCACCACTGTATATATATATATATATATATATATATATATATATATATATATATATATATATATATATATATATATATATATATATATATATATATATATATATATCTCGATTATCACCGTTGTCAAGCAATGTTAACTGTTGCTAAGTTCTATTGCGCTGGAGGGCGTGGTTTCAAAATTCAGAGGGTAACAGTGATTTTTTTTTAAATCAAATTCATGTATTTTGCATGATAGTATAATATTATAAAAATAGTGCTGGAAATACATACTCCAATCTTTCCTTCTCCGACTTTGGCTCGGGATGTCGGTTTTCAAATGGTTTAGTTTCAAGTTTATTAGATTCTAATTCTTGATTATCAAGTTCTTCGTTTCGTCTAACTGGATTTCGACTATCTATAATCGCCAGCAAACAGCCGTGGTTATTGGGAGCCCCATATCTGCACGCTTCATTTCTGCAAAGACACAAAATTCAGTTAAATTTCATGTGGTCTCCAAGAATTAGTAGTCACAATAGATAAATATATAATTCTGATTTAACTTTGATTTTTTAAAATACAAAATATTAGTTTAACTGTTGAATTTCAGAAACCGCTTTTAAGCAGGGCAGCAGATGAGCTATTGCTCAGCTGACCAATCAGGAATTATTCCATGACGTCATGCGCAAGTTATTTTTTATTGATTATGTAGACATACAAGATGTAATTATGTCAACAATCACCTTTGAGTATCAAGCAACGAAGTTCTGTTAACAAGAAATTGGTTCTATAACTGTATAATCACTTATTTTTATATGGTCAATTTTTTTCCTGGTTTTAGGAAAAAATTGGTTCGTGGGGAGTTGATTTCGCGATTGGAGTAGGGGACATGATACCGAATTTTGAAAAATAGTGTTGAATTGATTTGAACATATTTTATTATGTACCGAAACATAAATGGATTGGGCAGCAGGCATAGCCTATATAAGCCCTCTCCACAAAAATAATGTTCGTGGAGGAATCAATTCAAACGTCTCTGCTTACCACAGAAACAACGAAATTTAACCCTTCAAACAAATTGCTGATTTCACAGAAATATTCAAAATAAAAAAAATAAAATACCATTCTTTCAAAAAAGTATAAGGCCTTTCAACATGCAAATTATTATTAAGTCAGCATGCAACAAAATTTCGAAATGAATCTTATGTGCACTGACTTGCAACAGATTTTTGTTGATGCATTGAAATTTACTAGTCTAAGATAAGTTAGCTGTAATGTATTTAAAAGATCATATTTTTCTTTACTCATCATAATTGTACAATTTTAAATAGAAATGGTAAACTGAGTTTGAAATCCATAAGGGACTATATTTTTGGCGCAACTGCGGCGTATGAAAATATCTCCTTTTCTGCCTATCAAAATCACTTACTGAACATTACATGAATTTAATTTCAAAGACTTGAAGAAATTTTGATATGTAACTAAAATTAATAATAATGCCCTAAAATTTTAAAACATAGCAAATAAAAAAGATTTTCTAAACAAACTACAATCTTGTTAGCTTTTGAAAGCCTCCGACCTTAAAAAAGATTTGAGCAAAAAATCAGTAAAAAGTGTTTTTTCTCTCTTACTAAACGGTCAAAGCTTTTTGTTCATGTATCATTTTGTATGTTTATATGACTACTTTACCATATGTATAAATAAGAAATATTTAAATATAAGAAGTATATAAAAATAACTAATATATCCTAAAAAATTAAGAAAAACAGAGGAAATCCGGGTTAGCCAATATCTATTTAAGTTAAATAATGTCAATTAATTTGGTAGAATCATCTGATAGACCCGATATGGTAACATCTTTTTGTGCAAAAAGAAAAACATTTCATCTTTTAAAATAGAAGTAGGCATCACATGATTAGCAACAGTATTTTTTTTACTCTAAATGTCAAGGAAAAAGATAATGACCTTAACCTGACCTTGTTTCTAAAATAAAACGGTCAAATTTAATCTAATTGATACCATCACTTTGTGATATTGTCTTCTTGGATCTATGAAAATTTCATTAATTTTTAAATACAAGAAATATGAGTAGAATAAGAAAAGAATCCCTCCTTAATTAACAAAAATATGAAGTAATTTTTTAATGAAGTGTTAATTGTATAAAATTTTGAAATTCCTTTTTTTTTGACAAATGTCTCAACAAGAACTCTTTTGTAAGTTACAAGTAACATTTTTTTTTCATCTCCCCGTAATCGATGACTCGGAAGCATATAGTTTTTGCCCTCCGTCTCTCTGTCTGTCTGATTGTCCGCAAAAGCTTGAACCTTGTCCATAACTTTTGATTGGTTGGAGCTATGGCTTCCATATTTCACATGTATATTCTTTGTGGCAAGACCTTCCTTTGAGTACCATCAATTTTGATCTTTTGACCTTGACCTTGGAGTTTGACATACTTTTTTTAAACTTTAACCTTTCCCGTAACTTTTGAACAATTGGTGCTAGAGCTTTCATATTTCACATGTATATTCCTTGTGGCAAGACCTTTCTTTGGGTACCAGCAATTTTTACCATGACCTTGGAGGTTGACCAACTTTAAGAAAACTTTAACCTTGGTTATAACTTTTGAACAGTTGGCGCTAGGGCTTTCAAATTTCACATGTGTATTTTTTTTTATAAGTCCTTCCTTAAGGTACCAATAATTTTGACCTTTTATCCTTGGAGTTTGACTCTTTTTTTTTTAATTTGACTTTTGCCATAACATTTGAATGGTTGGTACTAGGGCTTTCATATTTCACATGTATATTCTTTGTGACAAGACCTTTCCGTGCGCACCATTAATTTTGATCTTGCCCTTGGAGTTTGATCTATTTTGAAAAAAAAACTTTAACCTTGGCCATAATCTTTGAATGGTTGGTGCTAAGGCTTTCATCTTTCACAAATGTATTGCTTGTGACAAGACCTTTCTTTGGGTACCGAAAATTTTTATGTCTTGACCTTGGAGTTCGATTTGCTTTTGAGAAACTTTAACACACGCCACGGGATGCCATACGGGGAAATCAGTGTTTTACAAACACATCTTTTTTACAATTATTTTTATCTTTATACGCGATTTCAAAATTGAAAAAAAAGCTTGTTATCTTTAAATTAAGATCTGGTAATAGTTTAGTACAATGGTTCATATATTTAACAAAAATAAAACAGCAAAAACAAATTATCATAACTTAATATTTTTCTTCTACTTAGATTTTATCAAACTTGAAATCAACAGTTCTGTAGTTTCCATCTTGACAAAAGTACAAATGCCTGGAGATAAAAAAAGCTAACATAATATCGTTTTTATCGAGAATAAATATTTGACGCAACTTAGCCATGTTTTTTGAAAACATTTTCACTTTTTGTATGAATAATGTACAACATTTTTTGTTGTTTTAGGGTCAATTATGGACTTCAAATTTCTCTGATTATCAATGTTCTTTATCGAAAGCAAATTTCGATGCAGCTAAGCCTTGTTTAAGGAAAGTTTTATACTTCTTAAAAAATAACTGAGATATTTTGTTTTAGCAAATTATATGAAGATACATGAACTCATACCTTGGATGATTTTAAAGTTAACATTATCAGTAAGTTTTCAATTTAATATCATGTCAGATAAAAAGGCGAGGACATTTGGTATTCATTTTTCTTACTGTGGGACAAACACGTATAATTATGTTCATTTATAAAGAATCCATTTCGTAAAGTGTCATATTATTTTTCCTTTAAAAAACTTTATTGTTGCAGACCAATTAATATTGAGACAAACCGAGTCATTTTTTTTACAGAGAAGGTTCGTCACAAGGTTTCAAGACTCCGGCCCACAATTCTACTCGAATACATCTATATTTTACATATACCATTTGATCATGACATACATATATTTGAGTTTTATTTATAACATATATCAATGTTGTTTGTTTCGTAAATTGTGGGTTTGGTTAGATCTTGAAAATGTCCCTTGAAACCCCCCCCCCTTCCCACACACACACACACATACACACAACGTACGCACTAAAGAAAAATATATTATACATGCATGTAGTTATCCTCTATGATTAAAAAGTCCAAATAAGCAAATTCACGCGCACAGATTGGATTGACAGTTTGGTTTATGAAGATATGTCGATCTGCGAAGATGTTGCAGATAAACAAAATAACAGAGGATAAACAAAAAATAAAATTCATCATATTAAAAGGTTACTGACTGTAATCGACTGTTCTCCTGTTGAACTTCTCTGACCGTATTTTTCGCTGAACGAATGTCTCTGGTTTCTCTGTCAAATGCTGCAATCAAACTGAAAAAATAAATAAAATGATATTACTGAAAACCACACCATGTTTTTAATCAAGATTGTTTTTAGCATGTTTTTTTAGTTCATATAGGTAGTCGTAAAGTATGTGTAAGAAAACCAGTTTTATTCTTATTATTCTGTTTTGATGTAAAAGCTCATCAATGCCACAACGCTACAAAGGAACTCTTTCTTTAACGCATATAAAAAATAAGACTCGATACTCATCTTTGGGCCAGTACACACGATAAGGCTTGCCTTACAAGTTATGAAACTTAAGTCTTAGCCTTACCGTGTGTACCCCCTTAATACATGTTTTTTCGAACCTTACAAGTCTGATTTTCGAATAGAGCACGGCTTTATTTCTCAATACAAGACGAAGTTGATCTTTTCTTTTCAGAAGAAAATTAGACATCCTCACTGCTCAGAGGCCGTAAGTGCAGAGTACAGGTCTAAATTTACAGCCCTTCGCCGGCAAGTGGTGGTGTCTCAACATGAGTGAAAATTCTCGAAGGGGCGTTTAACAAACAAACAAACAAACGAGGCAGTTAAGGAAGGGGAAAGTGATAGAAGAAGAGGAAATTATCTGTACTAATTACTTGTTTTTCATTTTGAGAACCGAATGCACTATTTTGGAATATTTAGAAAGAAAAAATGACATTTATGATAAAGTTGCTTATAATCTTGTAAGGTTTGTCTTATTGTGTGTACGTGGAAGCCGAACGGTTTGCAAAAGCTTAGATTTTAAGACTTGTAAGGCAAGCCTTACTGCGTCTATCGGCCCTAAGTACCGGAACACAGGTGGGGCTTGCCTTACAAGTCTTAAAGCTTAAGTTTAAGCTTTACCGTGTGTACGCCCTCAATTCACGCTTTTTCGAGCATTACAAGTCTGATTTACGATTAGACCACTGCTATATTTCTTAATACAAGACATAGCTGATCTTTTTCTTCTTAGCCAGTAAAAACCATATTCGCCCAAGTGTCAATCTATTTGTTTTATTAAATCATACACGTACAGTGTAGATAGATTGAAGTGAACACTAAGTTATTTTTTTCCCGAATGAGATAATGAATGTATGGACAAATGCTTCTGTTCAACCTCTTCCTCTTTTTTAAAGATGCGTGAATGTATTGTTCGGTAAAATTATGTTTAGGGCCGAAAACACGTGGAATTTATGGAAATATTGTTTATAGTCTTGTACTGGTCTTGCAGAGCTTAAGGCCTTCAAAAACGCGAGGTTTTAGAATTATGTGTGCCGGCCTTTACATATACATTAAAAGTTGAGTAATTACCTATATGGCCAGTAATCAAAATCTGTCGCAAGTCGGGAAGTGTGTTAACTCATAGATGTTCAACCTTTTCACATAATAAAGATAAGAGAATTTATGCAACTGTCGAGAACCTCTTGCAGATCAAGTTTTTTCTCTATCATTTATATGCGATTTTTTTTTGTTTTACTTTGAATGTAATGTGCGCGCATATGGTTACAATTGCCGGATGCCTCACACAGTCACTAAATGTTCTCTGGTTCTGCATTGTTTCTTCAAAGTATACCCTTTTAATGCCCCCGTTATTGAAGATTCGGGGGCATATTGTTTTTGCCCTGTCCGTCCGTCCGACTGTTTGTCCGCAAAAACATTTAACCTTGCTCATTACTTTTGATTGGTTAGAGCTATGGTTTTCATATTTCACATCTATTTTCCTGACAAGACCTTTCTTTGGGTACCATCAAATTTTACGTTTTGACCTTGACCTTGGAGTTTGACCCACTTTTGCTAAATTTTATCAGACTTTAACCTTGGCCATAACTATTGAACAGTTGGTGATAGGGCTTTCAAATTTCACATGTGATTTGTGAGGAAATCTTCCTTCGGATACCAACAACTTTGACTGACCGTTTGATCATGACCTTGGAGTTTGACCTACTTTGGAAAAAAAGCCTTAGCCTTGGCCATAACTTTTGAACAGATGGTGCTAGGGCTTTCATACTTCACGTGTGTATTCCTTGTGACAAGACCTTTTCATGGATACCAATTACTCTGACCCTTGACCTTGGAGTTTGACCTACTTCTGAAAAATTTTAACCTAGAGCAAATAACTTTTGAACAGTTGGTGCTAGGGCTTTCATACTTCACATGTGTATTCCTTGTAACAAGACCTTCCTTTGGATATCAACAATTTTGACCTTGACCTTGGAGTTTGACCTTGACCTTGGAGTTTGACCTACTTTTGAAAAACATTAACCTTGAGCAAATAACTTTTGAACAGTTGGTGCTAGGGCTTTCATACTTCACATGTGTATTCCTTGTGACAAGACCTTCCTTTGGATACCAACAATTTTGACCCTTTGACCTTGACCTTTGAGTTTGACCTAATTTTGAAAAAAAATTTAACCTTGAGCAAATAATTTTTGAACATTTGGTGGTAGGGCTTTCATACTTCACCTGTGTATTTCTCGTGACAAGACCTTCCTTTGGATACCAACAATTTTGACCCTTTGACCTTGATCTTGGAGTTTGACCTACTTTTGAAAAACTTAAATCTTGGTCATTCCCTTTGAACAATTGGTGCTAGGGCTTTCATACTTCACATGTGTATTCCTTGTGACAAGACCTTCCTTTGGATACCGACAATTTTTGCCCATTGACTTTGACCTTGGAGTTTGACCTACTTAAAAAAAAATTAACATTGGCCATGATTACATTTGAACGTTTGGTTCTAGGGCTCTCATATTTCAAGAACATGTGTATCACTTGTAACAAGACCTTCCCATGGGCACCATTTGACCTTGATGTATTACTTACTTTTGAAAAAACTTTAATCTTTGCCATAACTTTTCAACGGTTGGTGTGAGGGCTTTCATATTTCACAGGTATATTCCTCGAGACATGACCATTCTTTGGCTACTGTACCAACATTTTTTATCTTTTGACCTGGAGTTTGACTTGCATTTGAGAAACTTTAACCTTCGCTTTAAGCTGCCATACGGGGGCATCAGTGTTTCACAAAACATGTTGTTTAATTTGATAACTTTCCATTTATTTTCCCATCATTAAGTTGTTGTTTTTTTTAAATACAGGCATATGATTTTCCCATTGTGATTTAGTTCTACTATTACAGAAAATGGATATATGTGGTTCAGACATCCCAGTGACTGTCTGAATTCGTTGTACATGTATTAATAGCGTAGTAACACTAATTATTTTCTAGAAAAGCGCCAAAATGTCAGACATATTATCTCCGAATTGAGCTAAATATCTTCAGGGCCTTGTTTTCGAAATCTCATGACATACTTTTAGAAGATTTATAGGATACATTGAGGATCTCGGATGACAATATATAATGTTTTAAGGGTTTTAGATTACACCGACAGTAAAGAGCTTGATAATTATCAATATGCATGTATAGAAACACTGTGTGCGCGGTCGACATATATAAATTGTTCTTGTTACCCATAAATGCCAGGAAGAATTAAACCAATTAATTAATTTCAGATTCATACTAATGTTTTACTCGAGCTAAAACCAAAGTGTTCTTGACACGTGTGAATAATTTTTTCCCTATTCTCTATTTCTTTGTTTTTGTTTTGTCTGTAAAAATTAATCCGCATGATGTTAAATTTAGGGTTAAAATTTTGCCGTGTTTATCAAATTCGGTGAAAAATTTTGGCCATTAATTGAACGAAATTTAATTTTTCACAAATATTTTTGCTCTTACAGCCATGATGTTTTTTTTTCTTTCTACACACCTTCCCTTTAGAAATGAAAATTTTGATAATTATGATTATTCACTCTTTTCATCTGAATGATTCATTATGTATACCATGTGAGTAAAATGCAAAGGAGTCAAAATTGATTCCTATAAGCGTTTTATAATAAACCTGCGACCCAACATGTAAAAAAAATAATAGTGAGATGGACTTGCTGTAATTCAATAGCATCAATGTAAACTAATATCAGGTATCCTTGGTAATCTATCTTAATTCGTATTTCCTTGTTCCTGTAAGAAATGCATGGGGGTGAGTGCTGTTGCCCTTACCGAGGACAAGCAATGCAAGCGTCGCCGGGAACACTGTTTAAGGTAGTTCGATCCTCAGGTTCTGAAAATCAGGTGTTGAGTAATTGAAAATGCTAACAAAATGTCTCTGAATTCTCTAAGTAATGTGTATTTACCCACGGTAATTCTTCAAACTTCATCTTTATTTAATATCAATCATATCATATAGGGAAAATTAGTAAATCTCAAATAAATTTTCAAGAAATGCGATTGAAAATACCTAATTGGAAATTGATCAACAAATACATTTTAGGAATAAAAATCATAGGTTTTCAGGCTTTCGAAGAAAATTGAATGATTTTTATACTTATGCGGTACTTTAGTTTCTTCTATTTACTTCGATCGTTTTATAATGCATGGTGTATGAAGTGTTTCCTATCATAGCAAAACACCAAATATCACTTCTAATTTCATATCATGCTAATAAACATTAGTATCTAAGGTTAAATTAAGGATACATAACACAAACAAAAATTTGATGCCTGGATTGATATATATATTTTTTGATTGATTTTGAATAGAAATTACATAAATAATAAACACCTTAAATATAAAGAAATCATAAGATTTCTTTGGTGCTTAAACATGCGACTTTGTTTTGTTTTCTATATAATTCTTTACAAAATTTTGGACATATTTTTAACGTTGTGACAAAATCTTACAAAGTTCTCCCAATTTACCTGGTATACATCACTCAGGTTACTTATTTGAATATAAATCTATGAGAAATATTGCTGATTTCTGAAAAAAAAGTTTGTTTGTGTTATTTATCCTTAAAAGAACTTTGATTTCTTTAGATATGTCATCCTAAAATACTTTTATGAGGTTCAACTTTTATAATACCGTTTCTAAGATTTCCAAAAACCTTGAATCACATTAAGAGGCATAAAATGAAAATTGTTGCATGAAAAGATTTCAATTTCGAGATTCATTTTGAGACTTTTTGAAT